GTTCAATTATCTGCCTCACACGCTGTTCCATGTCGCTGGTGGAGAGAATGATGCGGTATGGCACAGAAATGGAATATACAGGGTGTCTGTAATTCGACTGTCAAACTGCAGAGCTTTCCATTCGCTGATTTCTTAGGTAATGAGAAATAACACTACAAGACACCTAATTATTTGAGGCAATACATAAATTAAAATCTAATTGTTAAAAAATGTTAAAAATTCCAGGAAAATGTACGAGGAAAATTTTCTTATGTAATCAATGTTTTTTTCCATTAGGATCCAGATGTTTTTATGTTATGGCTAAAACTAGAGGTCGTGATTCCTTAATTCCTTAATAAAAAAATCAAATGCATCATTTTTGTCATTGATTCATTTACCTTCAATATACTACTTGAAACAGTTGAAAATATACAGATTTCAGATGTGACAGATGAAAAAAATGTCCCCATTAAAATCTGGGAATTTTAATTCTGCATTGATAGTAAAAGGTTGTGGTATTCTATTAATAAAAAATGATTTGTCATTCTTAAAGTAATATTGGAAAACTGAAAGAAGTATGTTATCAATTTTTTTCCTTATTTATTAGGTATTTTAAAAAATTTTTGAAATAAATCCTTGTGCTAAAAGAGTAGGTCAAGGGTTATTTTTGTGTAAATAGATTTGCCTTTTTTTCATCGACTTAATTTTTAATGACGAAAATAGATTTTCGAAATGTTACCAACTCTACACGACACATATTTAGTGATTTAATTATCTTGATTAGTTATCCAAATCAAGGTTTTAGTGGGATTAAGTTCAATAAATAAAAGAACACTATATTGTATATCATTGCCATATTTTACACTCTTTAGTAGGGTGGTCCAAAAAAAACGAATTTTTTTTTCGTGTCTCTTGTGAAAATATGTTAGTTTATCATGTTCTAAGAGCCCCCTCAAAAATCAGCTCAGAAAAAAATATATTTTTAGACGTCGCTCAAGATTTTTAAAAATTTCTAAAATCGTCAAAAATTGAATAATTTTTTTTTGTTTTTTTTTCTTGTTACTTTATCATTTTCTAAGTTGAAAAAAATCTCGATTCTGAGAATTTCAAATAGATATTTTAATTTCTAAAGGTGGCTCATAATTATTTTACTTTCAAAGTAGTGTAGGTACCTACGTTTTCGAGCGACCTCTAAAAATAAATATCAACGAACTAATAATTTTTTTTATTGAATTTGATGAATAAAAGAATAGAAATAAATTTTAAGAAATTTAAAAAAATTTAACAATTATAAATATTTGATACTCACAGTGCGGTAGTAAATTTTGCCTCGAGAAATTTTTTAAAAATCTTGAGCGACCTCTAAAAAAATTTTTTATGAGCTGATTTTTTGAGGGGGCTCTTAAAACACGATAAACTAACATATTTTCACAAGAGACACGAAAAAAAAATATTCGTTTTTTTGGCCACCCTAATCCTCAGGGCTCTAAAATACAAACAATGTTTTTCATAAAATTCGTTAAAGTATTAAAATTTTCACGGTTGGCAAAATATCCAATAGATGAAGAAAAAGGAATACTATACCACAAATAAATAACGGCAGACAATATTTTACCAAATAAAGGATGTCCCAAAATTCACGCTAGAGGTTTTTAATTAAAAATTGTAAATTTTTATTGATTCACAAAGTATACAGTATAGGACTATGTATGGAATGGTATATCTAGTAAATGGCTTCCACGGTTTTGCTGACACATACACGCTCTTTTCAGAAATTTCCCATGCCGATTTGCATAAAAACTGGTGAATCAGTTTCTTCATGGCGTGGGTGGTCGTAGGCTTGTTGTCATAAAACTTAGGCTTCAAAAAAATCCAAAGAAAATACTCCAATAGCATTAAATCGCATGATCTGGGCGGCCAAAACGGGAAATTACACAACCATTCAATAACAAATGCAATAATTGAATTGTTTCTCGGGTTGTATGGCATATGCCTTCTTGAAGCTGGATTATCATCATGTCGCGATAGCTTAATTGTTATTGCTCCATCAATCGCATTTTCTAAGAAGAATGGTTCGATGAAGCCTCTAGCGCAAAAGCCACACCAAACATTGGTACGTTCTGGATGCATTTGTTTCTTAACAATCATCCGTGGATTTTTTGAATCCCAAATGCGACAATTTTGTCGATTAAACCATTATGATGAAAAATGTCTCATGCTCATGCCTCATCGCTGAAGATGATGTTGTTCGAAAAATCAGCATCCACTTGTTCCATAATCCATTCAACGAACTATCTTCGCTCAGCGTGGTCAGTAGGGTTCAGTTCTTGAGTCAATTGAACTTTGTAAGCACGAAGATACAAATCTTTCGGAAGAAGACGCTGTAGGGAGCTTCTCGAAATGTCCAATTCTTGATCACGGTGCTGAATTGATGTTTCTGGACTCTCAGCAACTCTATCACGAACTGCTTCGATGTCTTGTGTTGGACGACTTGGACCACTAATTCATTCAGTCTTACTTAACTTTTCAATTCATCTCTTCACAGTTAATGAAGTTACGAGTATATCACTATTCCGACCATATTTTGTTACGAAAACTGGGAAGTTTAACAGCAAAACCTTAATTATTTTTAAAATATTGCTCAACTATGAAAACGCGTTGTTCTTTTCTGTAGCGCTTCATTTAATAATCCTGAATCTGTCACGCTGTCTTTGTTCTTCGCTGGCAACACTTTACCTCACAAATGGCGGAAAATTCACATCTTGTGTGAATTTTTGGACAGCAGATAAATGTTTCTGAACGTTAAAGATGTACATTAATTAAGTATTAACAATAAATACCAAAACTTACATAAGAAGAGACAGATAATTAATATTTTCTTTATGAAGTGTATCTATGAAAAAATGAGTTTCATGCAATCATTCTCTTTTTACTCCCTATAAGAAAATCATTGTCAATGGATGATGATTTGAAAATTGTCTGAATTAACCCCTGGTTCGTTTAAACCTTTTATGTTATTTTCACCAATAGAACACCCTGTAGAACTTCGGCAGTCGAAAGTTAAGTAGCACTTTGTATAGCTCACTTCTTTGACAAAACATTATATACCGCCTTTCTTAGTTAACAGATTTCTTAGTTTATGATATGCACTTTTGATGATATCAAAAAGAAAAGTAATAAAATGTTAATTTGATAATAACAACAAACGAAAATTACTTTCAGGTATGTCAAATAATTTTAATACTTTGGGAAGCGGCCGTAAGCGCCCAGGAATTTGTTGGACTAATGAATATCTTTAACTCGGAGGATCTTAAATGGCACTTTAAACGGTACAATAAAAACAAGCCGCCACAAAACTACTTCATTTTAAAATACTCGTGGGAAACATGCGCGAGTATGTTTAAATAATTATATAAATTATTACGTATTCCTTCGACGGGTAGCGCATGCAGAAAATTGAATTTCACTTTGCACGAGTTGCTGGCTATTTGAATAATAACAATAATACGAGGCGTGTCCGATTTGAACCTCGTTTCCACCATACAAAACGTATGACTGCTTTTATACGGGGTGGTTCAGGATTAAGTCGACAAACTTTGAAGACACTTTCGTCATGTAAAATTAAGTAAAAAAAAATGTACATATATAAACATAGGTCCTCGTTTTCGAGATACATGGTGTTAAGAATAGAAGAAGAATAGAGTAGTGAGAAACGAATTTGTAACGGCTTGTATAATACATATTTTATTCAAAAATTATCTCCTCGTTTTTTTTCGTATTTGGTATCATTTCAAGACAAATCCAGTTTATTTAAGTTCACCTCATAAAATTGTTAGTGGCTATAAATTAAGGAAATATATCGGGTGTCTCAAAATTAACACAAGATTTAAATTTTGCGCCATTTGTGTGGTAAAGTGTTGCCAATGAAAAAACAGACAGTGTGACAGTTGACAGATCAGATTTATTAAAAATGGAGCCTTACACCAAAAACAATGCATTTAAATTGTGGGGTAATATTTTAAAAATAATGAACGTACAGCTACAATTCGCAATTTTCGTACAAAATATGGTCGGAATAGTGATTTAACTTCATCAACTGTGAAGAGATGAATTGAAAAATTCAGGGAGACTGTATCAATTAGTGGTCCAAGTCGTCCAACACAAAACATCCAAGCGATTTGTGAGAGTGTTGCTGAGAGAAGAATTGGATATTTCGAGAAGCTTTCTACAGCGTACTCTCACGATTTGGATCTTCAAGCTTATAAATTTTAATCGACTCAAGAACTGAAGCCCACTGACCCACGCATAGCCAAGAGAGTTTATTGAATGGATTATAGATCAAGTGGGTGAAGATTTTTCAAACAAAATTTTCTTCTGCAATGAGGCTTATTTTCATATTGATGGCTTCCGTTAATCGACAAAATTGCCACATTTGGGCTTCAGAAAATCCACGGATGATTGTTAAGAAACAAATGCATCCACAACGTATCACTGTTTGGTGCGGTTTTTGGGCTAAAGGCATCATCGGACCATTCATCTTCGAAAATGCTGCTGGTCAGGCAATAACAATTAATGGTGCTCGCCATTCCATTCAAATCATACGATTCAATGCCGTTGGACTGACTTTTTTCTTTGGGTATTTTTGAAGTACAAGGTTTATGTTAACAAGCTGACGATCACCCAAGAAAATTGAGCGCTGTATCAAACACCCTTTACTAACTACGTTACTATATTTATTTATTTACACTAAGTTTTACTATCAATATTTTTTTGGAATCCATAATACCCTCTATCTTGAAAACGGAGCATTTCCCGCCCTATGTTTATGTATACATATATTCTTCTATTTATTTTGACGTGAAAAAGGTTTGCCGACTGAATCCTGTACAAATATGGTGAATAATTGTTAACATTTTATTTATGGCTTCTTACTTATTACCAGTTTGGCAATTACAATCACTTTAATTATTATTTATTAGTTAAAGATAAATGTCTCAGTCAAAAGCGAAAGCTCCTTACAGGTCTTTCAGAGATTCCCAAAGACGTAAAAGTGACCGAAGGACGTCGGAAACGAACCATCGTCGTAGAATGGACTCCCGGCGAGACATCCTACCTCGACGAAGGGGGAGGAACGATACTTTACCTCATCGAAGAACGTCATTACGCAGGACGACATTTCATCGAAAGTAGATTGTCAGAATGGACGGCATGTGCAAGGACAGTCAAGAAGAGTCAGGTTCTGAGACACTTCGTGAAGCCTGGAAGGTGGTACCAATTCAGAGTGGCAGCAGTTAATGAAAATGGTACCAAAGGGTACTCGGAGAACTCGTTGCCTTTCAGTGTGTCAATCAGTGAGTAAAGTGGAACAATAAAGTGTAAAAAAATCACGCTCCTTTTAATTTTTAGCTCCCAAGCCCCCGAAAGCTCCCCAAAACATGACAGTTGGGCCCCTAGTTATAATAAACGGCAGTATTAGTACTGAACTGAGATGGTCCCCACCTCCTTCGGATTTGCCCTTGCAGAGATACAAAGTGTTCTGGAGCAGGAGGCTGCACGGCGCCAAGGCGTTGGATTCGGTTCTGGTCCACCAACAGGTTGTCCCAAGGGTAAGGTAATAAGAAATTAATGGTTCTAATTCATTAGGGCAAATTTTTGTTTGTGTACTTCTTTGTTTTAAGAACTGTACACCTTATTTGTTAGTTCAGATATGCAATAGATATAGACACGAAAATGTGTATAATTTTTGGTTGTGAAAAAGATTTAAATATGTCCAAATTATTTTTCTCCAATAAATCACCCATGAAGGGTAATTTTATGATCAGTCCTAATTTGACCCCATGTGTTCTTTCTATGGGGTATTCTGAGGGATGAAGGTAAAGAAAGAGATCTAATAATTTATGTGACCCAAGAGCACAAATATTCAACGAAGAATAACACTATCACTGAGGTGGATAACGGGGCATTATAAAAAAAAAATTAATAATATCCTTAGTTTAGAACAACATTAGGGTATTATAAAATATCAAAAATAATAAGATATTTTTTCTAAATAAAGAATTCAAAGATTATTTTAGTAAATTTAACAGCGAAAATACCCACGCAGGATCAATAAATAAATCAAAAGATTGTGTAAACTATCAAGTCAAAGAAAAAAGAGAGAAATCCAAAAAACGACAAATATGTTCTTGTTATATATTTGTTTGAAATCGCAAGAAAATTTCCTAAAATTTTGGTCTTTGCCATCTTCTTTTAGATCGAAATTTCAACACATGTAAAGGGGTAGAATGTTGCATGAGTATTGAGCTTTCAGTGAAAGATGCTTAGCAGCTTAGCAACAACTTAGAAAATATGTTCATTAAAATTTGCACTGCGTTTTAATTTGTTATATGTTCAATTAACATTTTCTTGATATTTATGTACAAATGCACACCAAAGTGCTAGATGGTCTTGGCTTTTCCCGTGTTACTAGTTTACTTACGTTTATTTGGAATATAGAATGGAAGAATATTAATAAAACTTAAAAACTGAAAAAACAAATCGACAAAAATATGTCTACCCGTGTAGTTTTTTCCAAATAGACCCTTTGGTGCGAATTACATAATTTCTCATGACAAATGTCTTCTGACGATTTAAAATCCAATAATCATAGTTATAAACTGTGCCAGTAATGGTAAATTTAATGTAAGTATAAATATTTAGGTACTATACAGGGTGATTCACAAATGGTGACCAAAAATGAAACCTCGTATTCTTTGGTGAATCTTAAGGGGAATCCGAAATAATTGCATGTTGTTTTGTACAATTTTTAAAAATAAAGACATTTATTATTATTATTATTATTATCAAACGAACATGCTGAGCAAAAATGTTATAATCTGCGACTTCATGATTTGAAAACTCTTCCTGGAANTTTAACATCTATACAGGGTGATTCACAAATGGTGACCAAAAATGAAACCTCGTATTCTTTGGTGAATTTTAAGGGGAGTCTTTCCTATAAAGTTTTTATCTAGGACGCTTCGTTAAAAAGATACAGGGTGTTAAACTTCAGAAAATATTTTTAATTTTTTTTAAATAATTTAATAACTAGTAGGTAAGTGAAATAATTTGAAATAGGGCACATGTATTTATGTAAACTTTGTCCAGAATTTGAGGGCTTGACATTCTGAGCAGTTAGAAGAAAAAAATAAATAATGCTTTTCGTCAGATTCACAATAAATTCGAACAAATTACATTTTCGTTAATAAAAAGATGTCGTGACTTGTTCGCGAAAATGGAGGTATTTTTGAGCATTTACTCAAATAAAACCATTAAAATGATGACTAATGTTATTAATTTCTTTATTTGAATAAATAACCAAATGATTAGTTCTTGTCATGTCATTTAAGTAAAAGTGTTTTCAGTTAGTTTTTTAAGTTTTACTCGAAAAACATAAGAGGGTAGTAATTTGTAGAAAATTGAAAGACGAATCCGAAAATATCATGGTTGTTACTGTAAAGCAGTGGCTTACTATTTCATTTAGAAAAATATGCCACTTATCTCCGCCACTGGAGCATGTAAATTTTAGGAAAAGATTTTGGACAATGTTTACATAAATACAAGTACCCAATTTCAAATTATTTCATTTACTATTTCTTAAATTAAAAAAATTTAAAATATTTTTTGAAGTTTAACACCCTGTATATTTTTAACGAAGCGTCCTAGATAAAAACTTTATAGGAAAGACTCTGCTTAAAATTCACCTTTTGCTCACCATTTGTGAATCGCCCTGTACATGTTACATAACCTTGCATAAATCGTTTCTTTTTCTCAAAATTCATTTAGACACTCCACCCAATAATAATAAAGTATAGAAATTTCCAAGTCAAATATTTGATCCAATTTTTTTTACTTATTTTATTAATGGTTTGTATATCTATAAATTGGAACACCCTGTATAAATATTTAACTAAACACGATAAAAAATCATTCCCGTAGTTAAATATATGTACACATTTAAGGTTTACAGTATAAAGAAAATAATAATATTGCCAACATAAATAGTATATAAATATGCAGTTCTTTTTATTGTATATATCTGTGGTGTACAATTGCAGTCATTTATTTCCCTAATTACATGATAGGAACACACTCGCAGGCTATAGAGACGCTGACGGATTCAGACACCCAGGAGTCCTGAAGACTCGAAGGTAAACCCCTGGTCTCGGGTACGTCTTGGTCCTTTTGCTTTATCACGACAACTTTGTATTTTTTTTCCACGCATCTTTGATGCCTTCCGCAGGAATCCGTCTTGCAGACACCTGTCTGAAGGAATCTGCAAAAACAGACGATTTAAAAAACAAATATAGTTTAGAGTAAAAGAAAAACTTACCTAGGAAAATATTTTCTACCCAGGTCCAGCAGCGGATAATCCATTTTACAGGAACATGGACACTGGTGGAATGATTGGAAAACTGGGAACAGTTTCGAGTTTCCAGGCATTCCCTGAGAAATGAAATCATTTAAAACTATCTCTTAATAACTTACAGAGAAGATGCTTACTGACAAACTGTAAGCGGATGCCTTTTTCTTCAGGAAGTGTCCAGTCAGGCTGTTGGAGATATCCTGGCTGTTCTTACAGAACTCCTGTGGTGCATCTAAACATGTCGCTTTGTCTATTTCGCTTTCACTTTCCGAAAATACGGTGTTCCCTACATTCCTCTCTTTCCAGCCCATCGATTCGCCATAAAGAACAGAGCAAACGATTAAAGTGATCACGTTGAGAATCATCTGAAATTGAAAAATGATTACCAGAAGTTTATGCACATGTGTACCTGAATCAAGAAAACAATTGTTTATACAAAAATATGTTTATTTGTAGGTTCAGACCTACATATAGGACATTATTATAGTTTGATACTCACAGCTTTCTGACGAACCGTTGCGAATTCAGAATGAACAGTATTTCACGATTTTTCTTTTATATGTTCTCCGACAATGAAGAGGTGAGAAGTGGGTGTGAATATTGTGTTTCGCCCTATTATTTTCTTTACGGGTACATGAAGAATGAGTCATTTAGTGCATTGTTGTCACCAGAGACAGACAAAAAGCTTTCAAGTAAAACAAAATCTTTTCGTATTGATAGATATTAAAACGCGTTATCAAAATAGACTTCTTGGGTTACATGTTAGGCACAGAAGTTTCGTTATTCCATTAAAATCCAGAGCAGCATCAAACTTGTAAGTATTAGGTACTAATAAAAATGGCTGCTTCTGAAATATTACTTTTTTTTAGACAGTCGTAGAAATGTATCGCTAGCAAACTATTAAACGTTTACCGTATTTATGAATGAGTAGAGCGAGTACTATAATCGTGTATAAACTTACGCCTTTATTTTACGATTATTGTATTAATGCACTTCAAATGTAATGCTTCTCATAAGAGCACGTTTAAATCTACCATAAAAGTCGTCTCAGTCACGCACCTACCCCATAAATTATAACTTTTACGTTTGCCCACCATACTCAACGTCAGTCTGTTTTGTCTTACTAATAAATTATTTTTCCGGCCGTTCTTTACTGCCCTTCGCTAATTTGACCGATGAGAGCGAAAATAATATTAGGCTGTATAATTCGGAAATAGGAATATTAACTGTGTTATCAAAGATTATTCTGTTTAGATCTCAGTAGAAAAACAAAATAATCTACGATTGCCTTATTATACTTTTTGTAACAGATTTTCTTTTAGGACCAAACTCATTTCCTGCTACAAAACCTGCAGCCGAATTCGTTGTATTTTCTACAAGTTCAAGCTTTGGTGCAATTCGGAAAGGATAGACTGAAAGGAGAAAAATCTGGACTTGTCTTAAACACTACAAATTACACTAACGGTAATAAACATAGTTAGTTCCTTCTGTGAATACTTTGTTAATAGACCGGGAGATATTAGACTGAAGTTCGACGACGTCTTTCTCGTTTATGCCTCTGAGAGTACTGAAAGGTAACCGAGAGACAAGTACAATAAACTAAATTTAAAAGATGGGCTGCGGGACACCTTTGTGAAAATTCAATTTTCCTTTTGGAAAAAAGTAATGTGTACGTATTTCTCACTTATGCCATGTTCGTAAGTTGAAGAGAAGTATCTATTTTATCACAAAATTTTTTTGGCATAAGTGTCGCAAAAAACTGTAAGAAAATGTGAAAAACATCTTTATTTGTCTACCAATTCCTCATTAATGCCAATTAGAAATATGACATTATTATATTCGAAAAGCTCATAAAAAACATTGGCATAATCCTACTAAGGACTAAAGAAAATAGGGCTTTGGAAAAGCTGCGAAAAATTTTTCATTTTGGTCAACGTTTTTCTCGTGAATAATAAAGCTTATTGCAAAGAAAAAAGTGAAAGTATTCATTTTTTTAAAGGGCATAAGTCCCTGGTGAGGACTATATGTTAAAATTTTTTGAAAACTTGTAGGAAAATTCATGAAAATTGCCACAATTTTCTCGTTTATGCCGTTTCGTACACGAGTAGAAAATATTATTAAAAGCCATTTTCAACAGTGGCATGAATGCCACAAGGTACCGTCGTATGTAAAAATTTTTATAAAGTTTATTTCATCGCCTGCGCAATTTACGAAATACTTATACTTACTTGCATTTAGCGTATTTTTAATTTTATAAATATAAGTAATTCATGTATTTAATGAAAGTTAATAATAAACTATTTCGGCATAAGTCCCCACATATTAGAACTGATTTTTAATAATTCTTTAAGTCATGATCAGAAAAAGAAAAATTATATAATATTGCCACAAACTTCTCGTTTGTGCCTATTCGTAAATGAGTAGAGTATTTTATCACAATAGACTATACGTATTTATGAACAATATATTTAAATTTTAAAAATTAAAAATATTATATAATTTGAATTAACCGCTGCAGTGCAAGGATGATCTACTTGAATTGAGCCGACTAAGGTAGAAGAAGAATGAGAAAGAATTAAGCTAGATACATAGAGGAGAAACTGATTTATAACTGATTTAATATCATGAATATTGAATTTTGTTTTTTTGTTTTTGGTATTTTGTACCTTAATTACTTAATTTGTATTTTTATACATTTTATTTTTATATTAAAAGATTTATTTAATAGTAATTGAATTGAAAAACCGCGTCAACTCAATTGTCAGAATGCTTCCTCAAAGACTTTGAATTACTAATAATAATTATAATTAACACAAACAATAACACTAAAAATAATACAAATTTTTATTAACTTAAAATTAAAACATCAAAAATATAAGTTTCTTCGGTTTTATGATTTACATTACATTATTTACATTACATTACATTACATTACATTACATTTTCAAATTTCAAACAGTTTTATTTCCAGCTCTTGATGAACGAAAAGATATTTTAACGGATCAAAATATAGGCCTTACTACCAGCTTTATTATAAGTTATTAAGAATTATCGTAATAAAAAATAACATGTCGAAAAATCAAACTAAACCCAATACAAAGCCTCCTCTTTTCATGTATTTTTTTTATTTTAATTTTTTTATTCCCTTTTATAGTTAGAAATATATCTTCTTTATATAGATATCTTCTCCGACACTTGCATTATTTTTGATACATTTTTTAAATTAATTTAAGTATATCGAAAATTGCGCAGGCGAGGAAATAACCGCAATTTGTAATTTTTGACTTTTTAAAAAATTTTACATACGCCGGTACCTTGTGGCATTCATGCCACTCTTGAATGTGGCATTTAATAATATTTTCTACTCGTGTACGAAACGGCATAAATGAGAAAATTGTGGCAATTTTCTATTATTTTTCTACTTTGTCGCCCTGACTCGTATTAAAATTCAAATTAATTTGCAACATGAAAATCCAATGTGGACTTATGCCTACATTTATATGACTTTATAATATAGTTTCCTACGTGCATGCAAAATGGCATAAGCGAGAAAGACGTACAAATTTTCATGAATTTTCCTATAACTTTGGGACTTATGCCTTCATATTGAACCCATAGAGGAGTGATGCCTACTTGGCACAGTACATTATTTATAGTATCATAAATTTTCAACGGCATAAATGAGAAAGTTAAAGAATGAAAATAAAAATTTTTCGCAGCTTTTCCAAAGCCCTATTTTCTTGTCCTTAGTAGGACTTATGCCAAAGTTTTTTATGAGTTTTTCGAATATAATTATGTCATATTTCTAATTGGCATTAATGAGAAATTGATAGACAAATAAAAATGTTTTTCACATTTTCTTACAAAGTTTTCCATTTTTAGGTCCCTTGCGACACTTATGCCAAAAAAAATTTGTGATAAAATAGTTCTCTCAACTTACGAACATGGCATAAGTGAGAAATACGTCGCTGTACACATTATTTTTTTCAAAAGGAAAATTGAATTTTCACAAAGGTGTCTCACAGCCCATCTTTTAAATTAAATTTATTGTACTTGTCTCTCGGTTAACTTTCAGTACTCTCAGAGGCATAAACGAGAAAGACGTTGTCGAACTTCAGTCTAACATCTCCCGGTCTATAAGTGTGACTAAATTGGCAAAATCGATATTGACATACATTGTGTGAATACAGGGTGTTAATATTCTGTTAAACTTTAATGGTGGATTTTACCATACAATTGAATAAAAAAAGTTCTTATAAACATGTGTTCAGAATCACATTTAAGTAATTAAATATCTTTTAAGATACTTGACGCAGATTGATGAAACTATTTCTAATGACTTAAAACTAATTATGTGTAAAAATTTGCTGAGCTCGTATAAAAATGTATCAACCACTGACGGAGGTACTGGGAGGCATCGTCATTAAGAACTGATTATTATTATTTTTAAAATTGGAAAAGTGCAGTTAACTCAGATTTATAATTCTATTTATTCTTTATATTCTATCGAAGATGTTTTTCATATTATTTTATTTTACTGTTCAAAATAAACCTACGATGTAGTTGAACCAATTGAAAATAATTCCAAAACTATCCGTTTCACAAAAAATACAGACATTTTTTTATAAAATTATGATTTTAAATACAATGTAAACATCAAAAGTAAAAAAAATGTTGGTATAACAATTTTAATTTTTTTAGATGGTTGCTATTTTTCAGAAAACTAAAAACTCCAATAATTTTTTGGAGTTTTCATAATTGCATTGAATGTATTTAAAATTACATTTTCAATGAAAAGTTTGTATTGGAGTTATTTTTTATTTATTTCTATCCAAAATAATAATTGAGATATCTTTTTTTAGAGAAACACCAATCGAAGTTTAATGCACTCATCTGCACTGCACTGCATGTGCAATAAACCTTTTTAGTAGTGACATCACATACGCCAAATAATAGACAACCCCATTGTGCACATTGTCATGAAGAATTTCTCAATATTAGATACATTTAAGAAGTTTCAAACCCCAAGTGACAAACTAATAGAATTATAGAATTTATATATTTAAATTTATAGAACAATATTGTCTTTTATAGTAATTAATAAATTAAAATTATATCAATGTTACTAAGCATACGCATTGAAGATAATTTCATGTAAGCAAAGTAGCCTCGCAACAGAATATCATTCAAGGAAAGTTTGGTTATGGTTAGGAGTACGTCTATAAAAAACACACTCGATAGACACACTGACATAGTACAACACCAAGAAAAACAATCACAATTCTTATTAGAACTAGAAAATGCCAAGATTAAACAAAACAAGAGAAAATGAAAATAACCTAATGATGACAGCGATAACATATCAACAAGAGCTCACTTGCGTGTGAGGCTATTCTTTGCGAGCATGAGCATTAGGAATAACATGGCTAATGTTAAATTTTAACTTTATTTATTAGGAATATTCCTTTATATCGTTTTTTGTAAGTTTTAAGCACATTAATTTATCTATTTTACGTAACACGTGTTGGTTGTTCTTAAATACTTCCAAATCCTTGTAAAAAATAAATTAATTTGAAGTTGTTCATTTTTATATCTATGTAAATAGTACTCAATAGTCAAATATGTGACGTCACACTAAAAGAGTCTATAACGAGTTGCTACAGAAATCTGTTAACAAATGGCGAAGATATTGAGAAACATTAAGAACCTTTGAATAATTTTGAATAAATGTATTTAATTTTGGCTGGTGTTTCTAAGAAAAAAGATCCGAAACACGAGCCACTTCAGAGCTATTATTGTTTTTAATCATTTTTTATTGGAACTATTAATCGAAATTCATTATCCAGTTTCCAAAATTTTCAATGGCATCAAAATTCAGGTTTGTTAATGATTGTGTTTCCAGTATCTCCGCCATTGCATTGGTCGACAGACCTACGTATCAACTAAAAAAAGTTTAACCCATCATTAATTAAACCGATCTCAAGAGATATTTAAATAAATGTGACATCTTTTTAAATTTCAACATCCTTTATCTCGAAATCGAAGCGTTTTCTTTTCTGACACATATTTATAGAAATTGTTTTTATTGATTTTTGACGTATACTTACCATATTAAAGTTTGGCAGAGTATTTTTTTAACGCTCTATATGCATGATAAGAAATGTAAAAAAGTTATCACTTGTTTTAGTTTGTGGAATACAAATTTCATTACAATATTTTTATTTGCTAAAAATCTATTTAGAAATATAACGTTTTCTTTTTGAAAACACGAAAATTTCAAGGACAAAGTATAATTATTATATTAGAAAAATATTATTAATTTTGAACAAGAAAAAACAGTTTATTGTATTTTTTTTAGTGAGCGGTAGTTCTTTAATGCTAGACAATATCAGTGATAGCAGGATAGACGGCCTTCAACTCCAGAAATTGTTCTGGTCTCAAAACGACCTAAGGGCAAGGATTATATGGAAATCTAAGAGGGAGTCCTTGAGGTACACCGTCACTTGGTGGAGTGGACCCTGCCAAGAAACGGCTAACGGTTACAATCATTTCAGATTGGCTGCTACAACCAGAGTAAGTATTACTGAAACTTCAGTAACAAGAAAAAATCCACTTCCTAAATTATTTTTCTGAATATTGTTTAAAAATATATATAATTTTGAATAGTTCTTTTATTTTATTGTGACTATACAAAGAAACTGATTTCCAGGCAACCCATTTTGATCTGTATGATCTTCAGTTCAACTGCAGATACAGAGTGAGCGTTCGGGAGGTTTCCTCACAAGGGATGAAATCTATTCAGGATACATCGATCACCTTTACTACACCTAAATGTAGTGCCTTCAGAACCAGCCATAAGAAAATTAAATGCCATTAATGTTGATACATATTTTGTGAATGTGATAAACCATTAATTTATATATTTTTATACATTGAAGGAAATAAATTATACTTATTTAAATGTTGGTTAATTTCTGCTGTAATTGATGTTTGCCTTTTTCTTTAGTAATTCCTTTTATAGTCATAACCATTTGTAATTCCCTAAATAGTCATAGCAATCAGAATCAGTCTATTCTTCTCATAGAAACTGCCAACTCGTATTACATAAGAGTGTATCCAGGAATTGGGTATATGTATAAATTACTAACTACTATACTCAAATCTATAGGATCTGTGTAAATTACGTGTACTTGTAAAATGTTCCTAGACTGGCAACTGCCAAAACAAGCATGTGTATTAAGTATTGCCTAATATGCCGCGTCAAATTGTCATTTTGAATTTACCGCATTTTTCAAACGGAAAAAGGAAGCTAAATCATAAAAGGAAAAGGGTTGGCTGTGGATTGGAATGAAATTAAAAAATGCAAAATGGCTTCACCCGAAACTTTTGTATTTTAGTGTAAAACGATTTATTTTGTTTGAATAATTTAAAGGAAACTACTGAAAATGGAAGAAAGTGAAGTGTTGCAACTGTTAGTAGTAATAATGGACGTGTGTAATGTGTTTCTAACCTTAAAATTAATTAATCTGTATTAACTGAAGCCTTAATTAAAATCGATAATGGACTCTTAAAATTTTAATACAAGGTAAGGCAGAATTTTATGGAAATATTCTGGTATGCAGAAAGTTAGGAAACTAACTGTAAGCCTTATTTGTTTACTTTCTTCTTAACCTAACTTCCCAATAATTGTAAACAGATTGAAAAATGAGGCACCTAGAGAAAATTCAGCCTGACTCAACAGCAGCGAATTTAGACGAGAACAAAACAGACCTATTTGAAACATTTGCTCCAGAAATTAAAGAAGAAATACCAAGTTTCATGTTGGACGAGAACTTTATGAAAACCGAGTTCAGTAGTGACGAGGAGAGCATAATGGGAGCTAATTTAACTATAGACATAAAAAATGATAGTGATGGTAGTGAGGAGTTAGATAGTCCTTCTAAATTCGAAGTTAAGAAAAATAAACGTAAAGCGTCTGCACCACAGAGAGCTGTACAACTTGAGTTGAGTCAAAGCAGTTCAGTGGGAAACAGTTCCGAGTCTTCTCAGGATCATATAGATAATCTCAAGTTTAGTAATAATCAAAATTTGGACGATATTTTGGCTATAGAAAGTGAGACGGGGCTTGATTTTGCCGAAGGGGATGAAATTGATGACGATCTGTTGCATGATATCAATGATGTTGATATTTTCAAGGATCTTCAAGAAGAAGCTGGTAAGTTTTATTTAATTTTAAAAGGATTTCAAAACAGTGTTTTAAAAAATGGTTGCCTTGATATTTTTTTTGAAAAAAAAAAATAATCAAATGTGACTGTATTCTGTTTCATATTTTTAATGTTTTATAGTCAAATAAAGGTATAGGAAAATGTATTTTAAACAAAAAAATATTGTTTAAAGAGAACTATATTTTATAGATGGTGAGACAATTGATGACGAAATTATTGACAATGTAAAAGAAGAATGGAGGGCGCACTGGGGTGTAAAATGCAACATGTGTGAACAGGTTTTCCCGTATAAGACTGAATTTGACAAACATTATGTGTCTACTTATAACCTCAGTCCAGTATACACTTGCACGTTCTGCAATAAGTCTGCCGAGAAGTATTCCACGTTTCGTTCACACTGTTACCGGCATATAACGGAAGGACGCTACAAGTAAGAATTTGAAATATATATTTTTTAAACATCACAGCTATTGATAAAATGTCAGTATTACTTATTATGAGTTTCTACAATGTGATAATAATAAATTGTTTATTAACACCACAAAAACTATAATAATTATAGATTTGAATCAAACCCTCAGAAAAGACTTATAAATTTTTGTTTGTGGGTTTTGTGTGTGACCAAAATATTCAACAAAAAAAAATTATATTTTCTCTAATTGTGTACATGTACAATTACAAATTATTATTTGAAAATTAAGAACAACTAAATAGATTATTTTTGCATTCCATTTTTTTTTTTTTGGTGGTAACGGTTACATTACATAAATATGAACAATTTTTTTTTTTCAGCAAAGGTTCTTTTTATTTTACTTTTAAATAAATTTATATAATGAACAATTTTAATTTGATTTGGTTGGTCATTAAATAATCTACGTCTCTAAAAAAGTAGCATCCTTGTTCTTGCAATATTCAATAATATGGAGTGATTTTCCTTTATTTAGACTGTAACATGGAATCCGTGTAGCTGCTTTATTCGTTGAAATAATTTGTTAAAAATTCATATAATTTCATACGAATAAATTTTCCTATAAATTTGCGTAACTGCCATTTAAAATCTTGTAACATATGACCTTTCCCTGATAATTAATTTCTTCAGTATTCTCTTCCCTGTCATCAATACTGTTGCTAAAAAAAGTTTCAGTTTCAACATTTAAATTGCATTCTTCCACATATATTATTCCTTACTTGTGCCACCACGGGGATTATATTATTTTTATCTTGAGATATTTCTAACCTATTTTCTAATTGTTTATGTCTATTGTTCTTCATTTTGCTTCTGTTTTTTATGTTTTGGCAATATTTCTTTAAGTGTGATTTGACAAATCAGTCCTCTTTAATTCAGTATCAATATCTATTTTACTTTCCTATTATACTCCGCGGTCGAAATTATAGAGAGTGATTCATCGCTAGCTTTTGGACTAGTAAGGGGGATGAAGCGTGCCGGGAACGAAAATCCATTGGCGTGTCTGCATAAAAGGCAACAAGATATAGAAAATATTGAAAAAAGATAATAAAACATAACATCTAATATTTTTTACAGTTTGTTATAACCGGCACTTTGATCCATTTTAATTATTACAGCATTTTAAAACGTCCCAGTTGTGTTTTTTTAATTTATAAATTTATTATAGCCATGGAATTAAACACCTCGTCTACGCTTATGCTATGACGTTTCTCAGGACGGGCAAATCAAATCCGTTTACACCCACTAAAAAAGCATTTCCCCATTCCCTACCAAGTGCAAAAGACAGAGATAGAATATAGATCGACATTCAGTGTAACTCGGTCTCTAGACGATTATAGATTCTATCGATGTGCGTAGCGAGCGGCACAACGATAAATAATATTGAAACGTATAAAAATCATTTTATATTTTATACGCATTATGGTTATAGTGTTTTTATATTATGTCTGAGTCACTCTCTATAATTTCGACCGTGGAGTATAGTTTAAAGGCAATTCTTTTTTAATAACTCAATTTTCTTTTTTCCTGATAATGGCATAATAGTTGAAATTAATAGGAAAGGAACATAAATGTTTATGCTCTTATAAAATTATAAAGGATTATAATTTATCTCATCACACTTACATCAGGTAGAAAATATTTTTCTAATTTCCCTTTTTTATCTTGTTAAACCTAAGGATATACTTCCATCACTACCTTTTAACTTTTTACACTTCTATAGAACCCTAGATTTTGTGGCAGAGGATACAAAATAATTTTACTAATAATGTTCTTTATTTTGTATCTGTATCTGAAGCTTTTAGTTTTAATCCAAGTAAATCATTTAACTTTAAAACAGTATATTGTAGGAGATTTGTTTTATTTTCAAAATTGAGCCCAGATATTATGTGGTTTCTTTTTAAATATTTTTCAAAATTTACTATTTTTGCCTTTTAAATGTGAACCTTTTTGTATTGCACTTTTAACTTAAAATTTATGATTTGATTTCACACTTCTGTGTGAATGTCAGTCTGATAATAAGATTAAACTGTTTACTGTTCTTTTTGAGTAATTTCAAAAAAATTTGTACTCACATTCAATCATTTATCGGCAATTATCTGACACTTTCTAGATGTCAGGAGTGCCCCAAGGGCTTCAGCCTGCAGAGCATGCTGCAAGTGCACGTTCTCGCCAAACACACAAAGGCCAAACCGTTCATGTGCGAGGAATGTGGCAAGAGCTTCGTGACGAAGCCCGGGCTGAAGATCCACCTCAAGAAGCACAAGACTGAAACTAAGGAGGATTATCCTTGCGTGGAGTGCGGAAAAGTGTAAGTCATTTACGAAATATCTATAAATAGGAGGTAAATAGTAGATTTTGATGTTATTAAAGTTTTATTGTTGCACGAGAGATTGAATTTAGGATGATAGGGTGATAATATGTTGGCCGTATTCTCAATTTTTGTACTACAGCCCTATTATGGGGGTTTGAATAGGTATGATAAGTATTTTAGTGGTGATTACAGGGTTTGAAATATACTTATTGACAAATTAAATATTATCTGCATTAAAATACATAAAACAAGTCAAAAATGTGATTTGTTTCTATATATAAATTTTTTTTAAAAGGCACATCCAATTTCTTAATTTTTTTTTTTAATAATTTATAATATAATTCTAAAATTAAATTCTCCACATTGATAAGGTCAAAATCAGAACTTGTTGCTACCTTTAAAATATTTTAATGTATCGAAGTGTTTTTGTTTAGAAAAAAAATTGTTGGTGTTTTTAGTGTCAAAACATTCTTTACGTTGGAATCTACCGAAAAAAAAAACTGAATTGTTTTTGCTTTTGTTTCTGTTTTTGTTTCTGCTTCTTTGTCTGTCTCCGTTTCAGTTCTGTTTCTATTACTGTTTCCGATTCTAATTCTGTTTTGGATTTGGATTCTGATTCTGTTTTTTTTGTTTTTGTTTCTGTTTTTGTGTCTATTTCTGTTTCAAATTCTGATCCTTATTCTGCTTCTGTTTCTATTTCACCTTTTGTTACCGTTACGAGTCTGTTTCGGAATCGAATTTTGATTTTGATTCTTTGTTTTTGTTTTTGCTTTTGTTTCTGTTTTTGTTTCAGTTTCTGTGACTGTTTATTTCGAGGTTTCTCTTTTAGTTCTGTTTTTGTTACTGTTTCCAATTCTCATTTTGTTTTTGATTTTTTGTTTCTCTTTCAATTTTTTATGTCTATTTCTGTTTCAAATTCTGATCCTCATTCAGCTTCTGTTTCTATTTCACCTTCTGTTACTGTTACGAGTCTGTTTCGGATTCGAATTTTGATTTTGATTGTTTTTATTTTTTGTTTTTCTTTTGTTTCTGTTTTTGTTTCAGTTTCTGTGTCTGTTTCTATTTTAGTTCGGTTTTTACTGTTTCCAATTCTGATTTTGTTTTTGATTTGTTGTTTCTCTTTCAGTTTTTGTGTGTATTTCTGTTTCAAATTCTGATCCTCGTTCTGCTTTTGTTTCTATTTCATCTTCTGTTACTATTACGAGTCAGTTTTGGATTCGAATTCTGATTTTGATTCTGTTTTTGTTTTTTTGTTTTTCCATTTGTTTCTGTTTTTGTTTCAGTTACTGTGTCTGTCTTTTAGTTCTGTTTTTGTTACTGTTTTCAATTCTGATTTTGTTTTTGATTTTTTATTTCTTTTTCAATTTTTTGTGTTTATTTCTGTTTCAAATTCTGATTCTCGTTGTGCTTCTGTTTCTATTTCAGCTTTTGTTACTGCTAACATTCTCTTTCGGATTCGTATTCTGATTTTGATTCTTTGTTTTTTTTTTTGTTTTTGCTTTTGTTTCTGTTTTTGTTTCAGTTTCTGTGTCTGTTTCTGTTTTAGTTCTGTTTTTGTTACTGTTTCCAAATTTACTTGTGTTTTGGATTCAGATTTTGACTCTTTACACTAAATTACACCCATCCATTTATTTTTTTTCTCTGCAAAATGGCACATCGCAAAATGACGATTTATTAATTAATAAGTTCTTCCGCGTGACTGCATTAAATAATTTCCAGTTTACACACGCGTGGCGGCCTGACGTCCCACATGAACGTTCACAGACTGGGCAGGAGATTCATGTGCGACGTTTGCGGGAAAACCTTCACGCAGAAAGTCAACATGCAGCAGCACGTCAAGCAGCACACCGGCGACAAGCCCCACAGCTGCGCCAAGTGCGGTAAAACGTAAGTGCCCACCTCGACATCGACCGTTGAATTCACCCGATTTAGATCCTATTAACCTCTTGTAGGTTCGCTGAGAAGTCTCACCTGGCGAGACACTACAGCTTCCACAGCGAGGAGCGTCCCTACAAATGTGAAGTGTGCCAAAAGATGTATAAGACTGAGCGCTGTTTGAAGGTCCACAGTTTAGTCCACGCGGCAGCTAGGCCCTTCGTGTGCGGTTATTGCAGCAAGGGGTTCCTCAGCAGTACGAAATTAAAGGTAAGCTTGACGTATAACGAAATGATCGCAATTTTGTAGTGTTCCGTGATAATTGTGTGGCGGATGGTGCTGTGTATTATTATTTTATGTATTGTTAAAAAATAATTGAAAAGTACAGGGTGTTTGGAAACTAAGAAAAAAAATTAGGGGGTATGTGTAAAATTAATGGTCAAGTGTCTATTTTCGAAAGTTTGATGTTGGGGAAATTATGTAACCTTAAAGTGATTCGTTTCCATGTTTTAATGTGACTTTGGCTTTGGTTAAGCGATATTTTGTAAATTTGGAACATTTGTTAGTGGTTGCAAAGTACTTATATGAAAAAAATTCATATTCAAAATTTAGATGTTTTTTTTCTTTGTTAATAACTGGATTAAATTTGAAAACAATTAATTACCTTGAAAAAAAAAAGATTATCTAAAAAAGAACTGTGAAATTATGTAACTGTAAACTGTTGAGGTTATGTACTGTAAAATGTTGAGGTTATGTCACTGTAAACTATTGAGGTTATGTAACAATCTAAATTTTTCACTCATGGTTTCTTGCAACTCTCCACATTTCCGGTATTCCACTTGACCGAGTCGGTACATATTTTCAGCAACATTACAACATCCACACGGGCGAGAGGCCGTACAAATGCAAATACTGCGAGCGTACGTTCACGAACTACCCCAACTGGCTGAAACACACCCGGAGGAGGCACAAAGTGGACCACAAAACGGGGGCCGAGCTGGAGCCTAAGGTTCCCAAGGAAGAGGCGCCCCCCACGCCGGCGCCCGTAGTGGAATCGGTTCTGGTACCCGAGGCGTCCGTTATGGAACCCTTGCCGTTGCTCAGCGACGTGTCCCTCAGTAAGGCCGAGGAGTTGCTGTTACAGCAGAGCTTGCTGAATTTCCCGTTGTTGGACGACAAGATTATTTTCAACCAGCAGATGGACTTTTTGACCGGTGAGTGCGAGTTATTCTTTTTTGCATGTTTTCTTTTAATTTTCAAATATGCCTCGGTTTTTTTATGCTTGATATTATTCATTTTCGACCACACACATGGATGTAATAGTGTAATACACATTGAACATAAACATTTTGTCATGCAATAAAAATACCCAGTATGGCAGCTGTACATTCGATTTATTTCATGCATTTGGTTTTCAATATGTCTTTTACACTGATAGGAGCTCCCAACACAACAAAGTCATTGTATAGGCGCCACATTTTATTCTTGCTGCATCACTGTGTAAATCAGGAAGACGTTTAATAATTGATTGATAGATGTAGTTCGGATGGCAATTAAATAGAGCATGATACGACAATCCCCTTAATTCTCCATTTTATTTAAGCACCAAAGTATCGAGCGCTATTTATTAGTTTGCATCAAAATTTACAAAAAACATGTTTTGGTACTGTTTCTCCATTTTATGCAACCTTTTTTGACACGATTTATTTATCTTATGTCATTTTTTTGCACGATAATTACTCCTCAGTTAAAAAGAGAGTAAGATGTATTTTGGATTTATTATTTGAACATATTTTTATTATTTCATTTTTTTTTTGTTCTTTTACATTTTCTTTATTTACAATTTTTTGTTCTTTGTTTCACGTTTTTTTTTCATTGCATTAGATTTTCTTTTTCAATTTTTATATCTTTTATTTTACTTTATATTTATTTTTTAAAATTTTTTACTGTTTTTGTGTTTTTTTTTTCATTTACTTTGTATACAATATATGCACAGCTTGAGTGGACAAATAAGAAAATGCTTTTAATGTTCATTTTATGTAGGAATGTCAAGTTTGCATGTACAGGATGTTTAGGAAATAAAACATTTTTAACCAATCTTTAAACTTGATGAGAAAATGATAAAAAAAATGTTTTCAACCTTTTCTTCTTTTCGTAATTTTTTATTTCTTTCTTTTTATCTTTTTTTACAAACTTTTGCAAATAAATACGATAATTATTTTATTTCCAATTCACATCATTAAGATTTTTAAACGACTGACCATCCTTCTGCATTTCAGGGACCGCCAATAATTCCGTTGGCCTTCTGGTCCCTTATTTCCAATCGACGTTGCCGAACCACCAGACAATAATCCAACACACCACGCAAACAGCTCTGCCCATTCAGTTCGGCGATCTGCTGCACGTGAATTACGCACAACAGACATTGCCGTGCGACTGAATAGCCAGTGCCACGGAAACAGGTTTAGGTTAAGAGTAAACGGTACCAGTGATTGTAAGTTTGTGGTGCTCGTAGGACGGAAATATTTCTGATATTTCGTTGAGTGTTTCGGTGGTCGATGGTTTTTATTACCGCTCTTTGTACCGTCTGTTACTTGCCGCTTATTTTTATCGGTTCTTTTCCTCTCGTCCACTTTCATTCCTTTCGACGATCCTTTCCCGTTGTCCTGAATCGATGCCTTTCCGTTGACTTGAGTGATCCTTTTTTGTTGTCCTAATATTTGATCCTTTTATTTTTTTGTGAGTGTTTAAAATTTCTTGTGTCCTCGTAAAATTTTTGTACTAAAAGTGATTTGTTAATGTTAACACTCATTTCAGGTTGGATATTTAGGGTTTTAACTGGATTTATGATGTAGAACTCAAACATTGGTAATTTTATCAAAAATCACCTATATAAAAACGTTGCAAAATAATTAAGATAGCAAATCTATTCACTGTCAAAGTTCTTCTAAGTTACTTCATAATGATAAACTACATTTTTTAAACAATCCCCTTATTACGACGCCATTAAGTTGTGTTAACAAAAATTTGTGGTGTAAACGATATGCTGTGGTTGAATTTTGTCAGCATTCTCTGTAAATTTAAAGCGTCAACAAGTTGATCGTTTTCGTGAACATGTGCCATTGTTTAGAAAATGCACAGACTGGGACACTTCAACAAAGAAAAATGTTATTTATAGCAGACGCTGCTCACGATAAAGTTAATTGAAACTGCTCAAATCAGTCATGCCAGGGTTATGAATACAGGGTATCCCGAAATTCATGCAACAAAATTTGGTCAAAGATTCTCCGAGACAAATTTAGGAGACCCATATTTTTTCTTTTTGCCAACTGGTCCCCTCTTTCGGAGTTACAGCACCCTGAAATTTTTTTTATCTCAAAACCATGTATAAGAATCACTAAATTTGGTTCACAGGGGTTTTATGACATGTGAAATCTCATAATGCTGCGCTTTTTGGCGAGAAACCCCCTTAAGACACTTTTTCGTGGGCCCCGTTGTCTTTGGAACAAGAAAAATTTGGTTGCAAATTAGATTTTTTTTTTAAATTATTAGGTAACGAGAAAGCCATTGAATTTAGAAACTTTTTTGTCCCATGATATTTGTTTCGTAAAACGCAATGTTTTTGAGGAAAATGGTGAATAACGATATGCATTCGATCACATTTTGACATTTTTCTCAAAAACATTGCATTTTACGAAAAAAGTATAAAGAGACAAAAAGTTTCTAAATTTAATGGCTTTCTAGTGAACTGACAATTTTTAAAAAATTTAAATATGCGACCAAATTTTTTTGGGTTCAAAGACAAAGGGGCCCACGAAAAATTGTCTTAAGGGGGTTCTCCACCAAAAAACGTAACACCATCAGATTTCACATGTCATAAAACCCCTTTGTACCAAATTTAGTGGTTCTCGTACAACAGGATTCTGAGATATGCCACTTGGCAAAAATAAAAAAATACGGGTCCCCTAAATTTGTCTTAAGAATCTGTGACCAAATTTTGTTGCATGAATTTCGGGACACCCTGTATAACCATCAAAATCGGGGCCATATTTTATAAAAAATTTTGCTAGTACTGTCTTCGTTATTTTACATCTTTTATGTAGATGATTTTTAGTAAAGTTATCCATTTATTTTTTTAAGTCCTACATAAAAAAGCAGCTCAATTCTGAAAACGTCATATATTCATGATTCTTGAAATATCCGATATTAGATAATTTTATAATTATCATTATTACACCCCATAATAAATGGTATCCCATAATTTTATTCTGTACCCCATAATTTCACTCAGTTTTATCTCTTAGTCTGAGAATTTGATTTAGTACACAACATTTTTATTTAGTAATTTTTTAGTTTTTCTGATTTAGTACTTGGCAATTTTTCCAAAATATTTAATTCCTAAAATTTATTAAAGTAATTTTTTCACAGTGAAATCTTTTATGTACCTACAATCTTTTATATCAAAAGCCAAAAGAATTCGAAATATTTCAATTTCATGTAGTTTATACTTACCTGTGTTGTATATAAACTGTAATGTAATGGGGGTGCAATTTACAATGTGTCCCCAGATAGGTGAAAAAACTTGAAAGAAACAAAAAATGTTGGTGTTAGAAAATGGCCTTCTGGGATTCACATCTGTAAAATCCAGTATTGGAAATTTAGAAAAATCTGTTGACAGAAAATATTAAAAAAAATTTCCAGAATGAAGAACTGAGTGTGTGTAAAATTTTAATGTGTTATACCTATTTTGTTAAAAATCAAACAAAACGTCAAAGTAGGCCTAGGATATTAAAATTTTTTATCAAACTTTAATGAAAAAACTAAAATCAAGCGAAAAATTAGACGGCCACTTTCAAATTTTACACTTTTCTGACAAACTTTTTATAATATTTTATTGTATTTCATACAGAAATGACCCTTTAATGGCCAAAATTTGGATTTTTCGAAATTTCCAGGGCTTAATGGATTTGAAATCATTGCAGATTTTGTTTCACAAACAAGCAGAGTTGAATCTCAGAAGGCTATTTTTGACACTAACATTTTTTGTCTTACAAATTTTTTCACGTATCTAAGGACACACTGTATATAATTTTTTCTCTACAGGGTGTTTTATGTATACAATATCCTACGAATCAGATAGGTAAATGAAATATTAAAAAAGACTACATTTTGAATTATACAAGTTACACTTCTCAAAATTAACGTACCACTAAAAATGAAACCAAATTTCAAAGTTGATTTTCTTTGAACTGTCAATCTGATTTTGATATTTATTTATTCATTAGTAATGAAGTTGAAGTAGAAATTTTTAATTAAATTTTAGTTTTCAGTGTATTCAGAATTATAATAGTACATCATATAGGGTGTTTCAAGTGTCTGAGAAAAAAAAACTGATCCTTGCACAAAATATTGAAATTTTCTAGAGGTACCGAGGTATAAAAAACAGTTCAGTTATTCTTGCAAAAATCAACTTTGATGTGGTCCACAGTGCGTTGATTTTGATCAAATATGTAGTTTAGGGTGGCCCAAAAAAACGAATTTTTTTTTTCGTGTCATTTGAAAATATGTTAGTTTATCATGTTTTAAGAGCTCCCTCAAAAAATCAGCTAAATAAAAATGTTTTTAGAGGTTGCTCAAGATTTTTAAAAATTTCAAAAATTGTCAAAAATTGAATTTTTTTTTAAACTTTTTTTCTCGGTATTTTATCGTTTTCTAAGTTGAAAAAAATCTCGATTCTGAAAATTTCAAATCGATATTTTAATTTCTAAAGGTAAATGTTTTCGAGCTACCTCTAAAAATAAATATGAACAAACTAATAATTTTTTTATTGAATTTGATGAACAAATGAATAGCAATTAATCATGAGACAAATTTTTCGAGGCAAAATTTACTACCGCACTGTGAGTAACAAATATTTATAATTTTTTAATTTTTTAAAATTTCTATTTTGTTCATCAAATTCAATAAAAAAAATGTATTAGTTCCTTGTTATTTATTTTTAGAGGTCGCTCGAAAACATAACTACTTTGAAAGTTAAAATATTTATGAGTGACCTTTAGAAATTAAAATATCGGTTAGAAATTTTCAGAATAGATTTTTTTCAACCTAGAAAATGATACAATAACAAGAAAAAAAATTAAAAAAAAAAATTCAATTTTTGACGATTTTGGAAATTGAGACATGAACCACCCTAATGTATTTTTCATAGAGTTTGTTTCTGTCTCTCTTTAATTCCAGTTGACAAATTTTTAAAAAATAATTATTTTTAAGTATAATTGATTATGTTTCTACTTAAAAAAAGGATCATACTAGAAAGACATAATTTCACATAGGTATTCTATTTTTTTTTTTTTTGTAAGAAATGTGATCTACTACATATCTCATACATCACACTTCTATAAGTACATTCCCATTTTAACTATAGCTTGTAGATATATGTCTAAGTCATTATTGTAAGAATTATTTTGTGTAGCGTGTTTTTATAATTCTTTTTTTTTTGTACTTCCGGGCATTTCATGAAATCTTTTAAAAAATGATATTACCCTTTATTAATTGTATTATTACTTTTACAGCATTGGGACGAATTATAAGTTTTTAAAATTCGTTTCATATAACTTCCAAAATATTGTGTAATAAATTTTGAAAATATTAATTCTAAAATCGCTTCACTCATTTTAATATTGTGCATAGAGGAGATGAGATATTATCTTTTTGAACCTTTACTGTTCTTATTTTTTTTTCATAATATTCACGAAATGCCTTCTTAAAGATTCATTTATGTATAATATAGTTCCTATGATTTATATAATTTTATGGCAATGCCACATGCGTATACGGATTTTATTTGTTAAACGAGGTACTTACTGTTGCTTAAAGTATGGGCCACTTCACGGTAAACACGGTTTTTAATCAGGGGAGCAGTTTATGAAAAATTGTCCTTTTTACCAGCTTCCTGCATTTCAGTTACAAATTGCGAAATAAAAAAGAACAGGCACTCAAGAAAAAACTTCTTATGTGCCTAGAAGGAAGACAGAATCGCTGTTTCTGAAACGTATTGAGTAAGATCCAGTCAAAATACTCTTTCTGTCGACTTCACCATAACAAGTGTCAATTTTTAGACATCATTATTTTTTTACTTCCACAAATGGACAAATGGACTCAATTACTTCACGTTCGGTATTATTTGATAAAATGATTCATTCGGCCGAGAAATGTAAGTGGAGGTGAAATGACATGTCCACAAATAATGTTACTTATATTCATACATATGAATACATATTCAGTTACTTCACATCCACTATTATAGGACATAAAATATAGGTAGACGTGAAGTAATCGAGTATGAAGTATTTGTGGACGTAAGATAATATAACATCTAAAGAGTGACTTTAAATAAAATACATTAACTAATAAAGCAAAGCTAAAGATGGATGAAGAAATTTATTTATGCACCTTGTCCAAAGCTTGGATTTTTGTAATTTTCGAAGAAACGAGTTCACAAAAATGCATCTTTTTGGACTCGGTATGGTAAGTTTTTTGATTAAGTAAGTACTGGTTAGTTGTATAAAAATTCCTGGAATGTTTTTAACTTTTTATTTACACTTATTATTTTACATTTTATAACTGCAATGCAGGAAGTTGCGGCATTAGTTTTTTCCTAGTCCTTACGATTTTTAAGGAAATCGCAACTTGAACATTGCAAAAGATAAATAGATTTTCGATTTCAGCAGTATTTAATTAATGTTGTGGATATCGTCGTAAGTTATAAGTATTTTTATACATTTGATGTGATTTACTAACTAGCTGTAAACTTTATGCAAACATTACTGAATTGATATAAGGCCTATCGTTTGTAAAAGACGAGCATGTGCTGTAGCATAGTTTTCCTTAGCAGAGAAAGGATTTTCTTGTCAAAGTGTGAAATTATTACAACTGACACATGATTTCATATTATATTTAGGCCTCCCGGCATCTGTTCTCAAAGTGAAGAAATATATTTTTTTAAGTTTATAAGATGTAGGAATATGTGTTAGTATTAAAGACGAAATACAAGACAAAGATTATGACAGTTTTTATTTCACATGCACACAAAACAAGTTTAGCCCCTTATTCCTAGCTTTTCTTTTATGAAGTTCTTTATAGACGTAGCGCTCAGTGTGTCTGATGAATACTGGACTTCTCTTTGGTTGTCTTCTTGAATTGACCTAGCGTTTTCTTTAAGCGGTTCTCCTTCTTCTGTGTCTATCTTTGTCAGTCTGTTTAACTAAAAAAAAAAATTTCAGTACTGTCGAATTCAGTCACTAAACTAACAGACACAAACAAGTCTAATAGTTGTAATTTAATTTAATCCTATAAAATGCTAATTACATTTCTAATTAACACAAAACTTTGAAATTATATGGTTTTAATTGGTATTTTAGGGGTATAAACTACTTTTGCAATAGATTCATAGAACCCTACTTATAAAATTGGTGCAAAAAATTGCTAACGGTTATGCCATACTAGTGTGCCAACCAGACATCTAGTGATATTCCTAATTTTTCAGAAAGACCTCCCGTAAATACAGGGGGTGATAGTACGACAAAAAATAAGAATTTTTTGTCTTATGAACTATATGTCTTATCTCCTCTTGTTTTCGAGATACAGAGCGACAAAATAAAATGTTTTGAATTGAATTTTTACGAAAGAGTCCAAACGGCGCGAAATATTTTTATGAAATTTGGTATTCCTGGGTTTTTAAGGATGCCAAATATACGCTGGTCTAATTATTTTTTGGATATTTCACAGAGGGCGCTAGTTATGCTATATTCCTATTACATTTTAAGTTCAAATTTTTTTAAGGTTAGGTTTTTTACCATTTGGGCTTCATTTTCTAAAAATATTGTACTCTTGTTAGAACTTCCTAATATGGACTCTTACAATATTACGGTGTATAAAATAAGTGACTTTTCTCAAAGTAAGAACTTATTGATGGATGTCTCAAAGAACGCATACATTCTTAGTAATATTTTAAATTCTAATTAACGTTATATCAAAATTTTAGTTATTGTTAGCGACTCACTAAAATTATGATATAAAGTTAATTAGAGTTTAAAACATTACTAAGAATGTTTGCGTTGTTTATGAAACATCCATCAATAACTTTTGACATAAGCCTATTTTGAGAAAAGTCACTTATTTTATACACTAATATTGTAAGAGTTCAATTAAAAGCCTTTTTTCACGAGAACCGTCCACATTAGGAAGTTTTAACAAGAGTAAGTCCATTATTTTTAGAAAATAAAATTAGAATTAGATATTGGAGCCCGAATGGTAAAACACCTAACCTTAAAAAAATTAAGGTTAAAATATAATAGAAATGTAGCTTACTAGCGCCCTCTATGAAATATACAAAAATAATTAGACCAGCGTATTTGGCATCCTTAAAAACCCTAGAATACCAAATTTCATAAAAATGTTTCGCACCGTTTGGAAAGTTTTGTAAAAATTCCATTTAAAAAATTTTCGTTTGTCACTATGTATCTCGAAAACAAGATGAGATATACATATACATAAGACAAAAAATTCTTATATCACCCCCTGTATTTACGGGAGGTCTTTATGAAACACCCTGTATAATAAAATTTCAAATTAAAATTAGTAAAAATTACCATTAATTAATTCCTTCGTTATAAATAGTTAAAAGTATAATTTTGAGAACTGAACATTTCCATTTTCTTTGCAGTTGAGGCAAATAAATATTAAAAAAATCATCAAATTATATTCTCTTTGCGAGAAAGCCAACTTTAAAATTAGAACTAATTTTTAATGATGCGTTAATTTCCCATAAAGTAAATTCGTGTTGAAAAAATGTTATTAGTGAAATATAATATTTCCAAAACTTTTTCAAACATTTTTTAAATGTTTTAGAAATGCTTTGTTGCATGAGGCCACAGAATCAACATGTGAAAACATTAACAGATGGTTCAGATTTGAGTAAAATAAATAGTTTCTAGACATTTATGTAAACATTTCCCAATATTTAAATAAATATGTTCAATTTAATATATTCACAATGCTTCATTGAATATTATAAAAATGTTTTTGAAATGTTTACCTATGGAGCTTTATTTTGATTACCTACTATAAAAGTAATAATACATAAAATAATTCTATTTTCAGTTTTATAATTTCAATATATTACGCATATTTTTATATTATAAATCCTAGTGTACACTTGATACCTTCAACAAAAATCTTTTCATCTAAAATTAACATTCTCCAAAAGTACACAGAAAGAAAAATAATTGTGTTTTAATTTACCAAAAGTTTGGAAGTAATGGTTCAGATATAATATAAAAGATTACTCACTGTATCTACATTTACCTGCTAATGTTTTATACAGGATCTAACTTTTAAGTGGTCAGTTTTTTAAAGGTAATTGTATGTGTTTCAATGAATACGAATCTGAAATTCTTCATTTTTTAATCAAATAAATAGTCGAATTATAATTAGTTTGTTAAAATGCACGTTAATTCTTGTGTACACCATTATTGAGCGGGGCACTCGAAATTTCCATATCAACGTTGCTAGTTGTTTTTAAAACAACCTACATTTTGCAACGGAAGTTAGCCACCGCTGTTCTGTTGCGGCATGCCTTTGAAAGCGGATTCGCCGACTGTCTTCGCACCTGGTATAACACGGGAATGGGCGAATACTTCACTGCTTCATTTGGTTACATTTTTAGTGTAGTTTTCGACTTTAACGGTTCTATAATCGTATAAAGTTATTTATTTCAGTTTAGTGACGGTACGGTGTAATTTTGTGTTATAATTTTCAAGTTTTTGTTTAATATGAAAAAGCATGTATACGAATCGAGAAAGAGTCGATATTGTTAGACCCTACTTTTTGTCAGGAGCAAAGAAGACGAGATCAGAAGTTACACCCTGTATTATTATTTTTGGCATATTTTATCAAAACTACGAATCTTTTTTTATAAAACAATATAAAATATTTACTAGTATAACAGTCTTCTGCTTAATAAACTATCTGGGCAAGCGCAATCAAAAAAATGACAAAAGGAAAAAAAATAACACATTTGTTCCAAACATTTTCACATACCCATACAAATTTAATATAATAATACTATAGTAGGATCATATTTGATGCAAAGTAATAAATCATTGCCTATCAAGGGATCCAGTGCAATACGGTTTTAAGGGGTTTAGAAATTGAATACTTTATGCATTATAAAGGGATGAATCCACGATAAACCATTTATTTTAAATGTAACTTATTATAAGTCCAATTTGCCTTTGTAATTCCACATATGTACTACATTTCACCTCTGTACGTGCCACTATTGTTTAATGTCTTTTGGTGACAGGCTCTGATTTACGATCAAGCTCGCCAGGTTAGTATTTCACGTATAACCGACTACTTCATACACTCTATGCACCTGGGAGACTACAACTACTACCAGAACACTGCGTATGCAGCGGTATTTCATAAATTTGAAATGGTTTATCTTACGCTTCCTAAAAATGATGACACGATTTTTCTTTGATAAAAGACCGCCAATTTTTTGCTCTACTTTACATCGAATACGATCCTACTATATGTAGAGTACTTATTTAAACCTTGGCTACTAAAATTTGTTTGTGAAATTGAATTATACAAGGTAATATATTAAATTATAAGAAATCATTTATTGTATACTTTGAATAAATTTGAGATTCCGGCCTACTTTGCATAACTGCATATCGACGTAGGACGTTGCATTTTATGTTGCTCTACATTTTATAGTTAGATATAACTTCTAAAACGTCCAATTTTAAATGTCTTTGTTTAAAATGGTAAAGTATTCCGTAAACCCTAAGACACGCAGGTACTGATAATATTGAAAATATTTGAGATACACACAATGACAATACAGTAGAAAGGAAAAACGCCTATGAAATATGAAGTATGAAAAAATGGCGATGATCTTATCTGGTTAATATGAATATTACTAGTTAGGTTTGATTTAAAACTTATGATTAATTCACACAATCCAAGAACCGTGAAACCGATCCTGAAATATAATACATATTCTGTTGCATAATATTTAAAGTAACATTTAAAAACATTTTAAAAGTACTTATTGCGCGCTGTTAAGGTTTGATATGAAGCATATTTTATATTTTACCTGATCTTGATTAATAAGTAGTACATCTTCGAAAATTATCCACTTCACGTTTTCGTTGCAACCGGGGGTTGTCAGTGAACCCTCGTACGTATAGAACTTGCGCCTGTTCTTCGGTAAAAAGTGATTAACTATCACACCGTCCTTTATTTGTGTCGGCGTTTTAACGTTGCATGCTATTTTTTCAGTAGCTACAATTAGGTTATCCAATTTACGATTGTAGCAGTCTGCAACCTATAAACCATGAATGAATTAATATGCCGAGTGGCAAATTTTATATAATTTCAGTACCCTGAACATTACGGCTAAAACTATTAGTCCCTTGGGATGTTTCAGGGCACTATCGAACGATTCACATTTTTTGTTGAAATGCACTAAATGGGCCTCTAATGGGTATCTGTAAGAATTTTTAAAATATATAAAAATATATAAAAAAACAACGAAGGAATTTAGGTTTTGTTTGTTTGCCTCAATTTGAAACCTTTTAGTAAGTTTCATGCCAATTACAAAAGATTTAGAAGAAAAATTCAATTCATGGTTGAACTTAGAGCATATAGACCAAGCAAATTAAATTTTTACTCGAAAAAAGTCCTATCCACTAGATTATTGTAAAATTGTCTAAAGGAACGTAATACAAGACGTCTTTCGTTTCGTGAGTCATAGACTTTTATTAGCTAACTTTTCTATTTAAACAAATAAGTGAGGAAAACAGTTTTTTCACTTTGCAGGGAAAACCATCAATTTTAGCGAAAAGTGACTATCAGACAGCTTATAGGGAGNTCGGGATGTTTCAGGGCACTATCAAACGATTCACATTTTTTGTTGAAATGCACTAAGTGGGCCTCTAATGGATATCTGTAAGAATTTATAAAATATATAAAAAAATATAAAAAAAACGATGGAATTTAGGTTTTGTTTTAGTAAGTTCCATGCCAATTACAAAAGATTTAGAAGAAAAGTTCAATTCATACTTGAACTTAGAGCATATACTACATGGAGGAAGAACGCTTATGGCGAGGCGACAGTGTAGACGAGTGACAGAGAGAGAAAAATACTCTATTTCTCTCTCTCGGGCAGGCACGTGATTGGCTACCACAACTCTTCCCTCAACGATTACTTAGAGAGAGAGAGAGAGAGAGAGAGAGAGAGAGTGAGTATCCAAACTATCGCCCTTTTTCTCTACAGCGTTTACACTTTTAACACGCGGTGCTTTCTCCATATAGTATACAAATGATCACAAGCCACGTGACCAGTAATTTTGTTTAGAACAGTAATTTTATTTCCTTCATGTTGGCAATTAAATTTCGTAAAATTAAAAATCATTAAAACAATAAGATCAAAATTACATTAAAACACAACGAGGTGTAGACGTAACGGTTTGTCATTGTTCATTGTAAACGAACCGTTAATGTTGGTGACGGCAAGATTTAGGGAATTTTCGTTACTAGTACCAGCCCTGTAATGTTGGTTGCCTAAGCTCGGCGGTCAGGTGGCTTGTAAACATTTATAAAGACTCTATATATGCTCTAATTGGTTGAAATAAATTCTGATTTTTGAACCTACCTTTTGCCGTTGAGTGTGTGTTCCGATTCCCAGTGGAAATGAATGTTGTCTAGAATAAATTCACCATTTAAATGTCCACCTGTTATTGTTGGTATTTCACATTGGTCGTCTTCGTTGATTCTTATAGATACTGAAATTGGAAAAAAATAATATATACGACAACAAAATTCTTTGTAAGGTGTTTTTTTTAAATTGATAATAAATTTTCATAAATGCACTGCTAGTTTTAGCTTTACCGTAACTTTTAATGATTAACGTAACTGGGCAAGGTTTAAAATCAATTTCACTCCGGCTGTCCTTCAACACAAGACATCAAAGCAGTTCGTGAGAGTGAATAAATGCATCCATAACAGGTCATTGTTTGGTGTGAATTTTGGGCTGGAGACATCATTGGACCAATCTGGACTGGTCAGGTAATAACAGTTAATGGTACTCGCTGTCGTGACATGATAATCCAGTTTTTGTCTATGATGTAGACGGTGCCACATGACATACAGCCCGAGAAACAGATCCATTACCTACTACATTTTCTGGTCGTGTAATTTCCCGTTTTGGTTGCCCAGATCATGCGAATTAATGCCGTTGGATTTTTATCTTTGTTTTTTTTTTAAGTTTAAGGCCTATGCCAACAGGCCCATGCCCTGAAGGTGGAACTTGAGCGCTATATCAATGAAATTTAGCCGCATTTATGTAAAACGGTCATGGAAAATTTCGACAAAAGGGTGCGTAGATGCCAGCATTGTCATGGAGACCATTTACCCGATATGCTATTCATTAAAATTAATCGTAGACCCTTTACAATTAGTTTTGTTTTAGTGTTTTTCATAGATCCTGAACTTAGACCGGTTTAGAATGCGTATTTTTTTAATAATGTACGGTAAAAGTTGAAAACGTATTTTTCATTATTAAAAAAAAAATTGCCTTATTTATATAATAACTCTGAAACTATGAAAGATACGTAAAAAATGATAGACAACAAAAATATAGCTTTTGTTTAACGAATATTTTGCTTTTTGTTTATTCCTATAAAAGATAATGGAGATATCGCCGCTTGAAGTATCCATTTTAGTGAAAAAACGACCTTTCCCGAGCCTTTCGATCCTCTAGTCCTTCCTTTAAAAAACGAAGGACTTAAAAGGTTTTATATGCAAACGGCAGCTCTTGAAATTATCTTTAAAATGCTTTTTTGTAGGATACTATAGCTTCAAAATTAACCAAGTTATGGTAAAAAAACCAATGACATGTTTAAATTATTGCACAAATATAGCATTCCAAGATTTAAATCGTAATTTTTTATCATTTTTTTTAGCACAGGGGTGATTTATAAGGGTTGAAAAGTGTTGAGATACAAATTCTTTCATAAGCAATGAGGGAATTTTTATTTCAAATAATTGCACAGTTAAAGCATTCCAAGCTTTTAAAAAGTAATTTTTTATCATTTTTGTCGATACAGTGGTTTTTGGGAGTTGAAAGGTAAAAATTCTTTTATGTGGTATAAGGTAACTTTTAATTTAAATAATTGCACGATTTAATAATTCCAAATCTTTAAAAAGTAATTTTTTATCATTATTTTTTGCATAGGGGTTGTTATTAAGGGCTAAATAAAGGGTCGAAAAAATCAAATATATCATAAAACATGTTCGAGAGCATGGAACATTATTTAATCTTTGTGCTTGAACAAGATTTTTATCAATAAAATGCTTAAAACTTAATTTTTTCAATTTTTTTTACTTAGGGGGAGTTTTTACCCCTAAAAAACAAAAAGCGTCAATCGAGCTTATGTCACTTTTGAACTTGAGCCTAAGATGAGCCTTATTCTAAATTTTCATGCAAATCCATGCAGTTTCAAAGAATTCGGAACTTACAGCCGATTTTCAGCTTCAATAAATTTTCATAAATGCACTGCTAGTTTTAGCTTTACCGTAACTTTTAATGACTAACGTAACTAGGCAAGGTTTAAAATTAATTTCAAATAGTTCAACGAATTACAGGTAATACCTCCTAGAACAACCAATAATATAGAAAGTTAAGTGCCATGCATTATAGACGGACAATGTTCCGCTATCTCTTGTTGGTAGAAAAACTAAATCGGGCGGTAAATTTAAATTGCTGGCAAGTACGTTTTATAAAAACTACCTATTTGTTTTTGTTTTTACTATTGTCTGTTAAAACTGTAAATTTATTAGCATACCTATTGGTATAATAAATACACAGCTGTAAAAACTAAATACGTTGGTATATTTTTTCTCGATTTTAAAAGTATAAAAAATATTTTCTAGAAAAAAAAATTATCAAATAAAGTTAAACAATGTTATTCGATTTGTTTCTACATTTTACTTGAGATTGTTAATAGAACATGTTTAAAAAAATCAAGAATTTACAAGTTACGTAATATTTACTGGACAACAACATTTAAATTCATATACAGTATGTTATGAAATTCGCGGACACGGACTGTGGGATCATATTAAGCTAGATAAGGTGATCAAAAAGTGTCATTATGATTTTTCAATCAGACCAGTATTTTTCGAGATAGCAGTATCAAATATGCAAAAATAATAAAAATATATATTTATAAATTTCAATATTCAATCATTAGATAAACAACTACGACAAACGAGTTACAACAATTGTTCAAAATTTCCACCGTCTGCTGTTAAACATACTTCAGCACATTGTGCTACTGCTCGAATGGAGTTGCAAATCACCTCTGGTGTTATTTGCTGTATTGATTGAAATAGGCAGTTCTGTAACTCATTCAAATTTGCCACTGGTGTTCTGTACACCAACGTTTTTAGGAAGCTCCAAAAGAAAAAATCACATGGCGTTAGGTTTGGAGAATGAGGTGGCCAGGCAAATGGACCGCCTCTGCCAAGCCAACCGCACTACTTCACCTGCACGATTATTTGAAGCTCCGAGAGCCATCAGCATATCATATCATTCAGGATTTGAATAATTAATTGTGGCCTATTATTTTGTAGTTTATATTGACAGGTACTTTTACTGTACTCTAACAAATTTCAAAGAATTGATAAATGCTTTTTGAATTATCATTAATTGTCACAGAGCCGTCTGTTTCAAACGGTAGGTACCACAAATAACGCCAGAGATGATACGCAACTCCGTTCGAGCAGTAGCACAATGTGCTGATGCATCTTTAGCAGCAAGTGGTGGAAATTTTGAACAATTTGTTTGTCATAATTGTTTTTTAAATAATTAAAAATTGAAAATGTTTATTACTTTTGGATATTTAAAATTGCCGTATCTCGAAAATTATCGGTCTGATTGAAAAATGATAGAAAAATTTTTTTATGAGCTTATCTAGCTTAACATGATCCCACAGTCCGTGTCCGCGAATTTCATAACACCCTGTATAATATATAAAAAAACAATGTAAGACATGTCAATGTTTACAACAAATGCTGGTTTCAAACAGCTCTGGTACCGACTTACTTTTACCTTATTACAAATTTCACTTCTCAGATTATCACTAAATAACAATACTTGAATTAATCACTATACTTTTCAAATAAATAATAATTACGTCATAAATTTTCTTGGAGTTAAAGTACAATTAAAAATACGTTAAATCATTCTGAAGCTTTCCGATTCATTTCTGTCTAAAAATCTAAAATCTAATTGGGTACAATTCCAGTTTTTGTTTTTGGTGTATGTCCTTGTTACTGGGTGTTTAAAAAAGGCCTGTTTTGCAGCCAATAGGAAAGAAGTTGTCTTCTTTCAGATGCATATTTCTATTATGCATCTGCAGGCAAAACTATTTCCCGCAATATTGGCAGGCCTTTATATCCTATTGTTGACATATTTATTAAAATTTATTAGAGTTCGTTACGACCTATATCAGTTTACATCCCCTGAATACAATGAATAAGAAATGACGTCACTAATGAGTTTTGTGGAATAGAAATGATAGAATACCAACGATACGATAAAAAAACCATAGGACTTATGTATATGTATTGGCATCGACTATTTGGAAGCACGTTGGTAGTTTTGTTTTGCACAAATAAATTGTTTTTTGATCTTGAATTAATTGCTATTATTAATGACAATAAATTGTAAGCATAATTCACTTTTCCATCGCTTTCATCGTTTTCCAAGCCAGTGATGCTAGACTTGGATATTTTTCCGTAGCTGTAGAGGAAAATATTAAAAATTTGTGAAACGGGAAAAAAAGGACATTTTATGTAATATTTAGGGATTTGGTACTTTTATACAAAATAGAGAATTTGAGACTATAACAAACTTTTTATTGCCGTAAATATTGTAAACTAATTATGTTGTTTTTATTTATTTTTTTAACAATAACTTCAAAAAAATTGCTTTTTTTAGACAGTTTTATATTTTTTTAAAAACCTTTCGCCTTTCTAAATTCACTTTCGTCCCATTTCTTACGAATTTACATAAAAATAAAGTAAATTTGTAAAATATGCGGAATTATAGGGAGTTTCTGCCTAACACCTAGGTATATTCAAGTTCACCCATCCGGATGTATTTTGTGCGATGAGCAATTGCATGGAAATACGCATTTTGTAAAAAAAACGGATCTATGGAATTCACAGAGCGGTGCATAATTAATTTAAAAAACTTTTGTCGAAATTCTGACGGATGCACATTTTTCACAGATTTTTCTCACCTGTATGTCCACTATTTTCTACGCAAGCATTGTACCGGTTGTTGTAATAATAAAACTCCAACGGGGGTATATCCGCGCTTTTGGACTTGTCCTTACACACGGCGATGGGCGACTGCTTCTTTCCTTTTTGGCATAATTCGGGCCAATCGCCTAAAAACGTATATCAAGCCGTTAAGTAAGTTGTACGAGTTGTCATTCTTTAAGAATTTACTTGCTTGGTGATACAGAATCAACTTGAATTTGAGCCAGGAAGAAATTCCGTCAAGGAGCAACATTATTTCCAAAAATAAAAACGGACATTTTATAAGAGTCGCACGAGAATTTTAAATATGACGTTACTGACGTCTTCTTGACTTTCAGCTTTCCTATGTTCAAATATTCTAAATATGGTGACAGTTTAAATTGCGTCAACTTTTCTATTCTTATTGATATAACTTGCGTATTATAAAATCAAAGAAAACCGATTGCAATAGATACATGCTCCTTATAATCACTTTTCACCTTATCGTTTATAGTATCAAAACATACTAAGGGATATACAGGGTGTCCCACCGGGAACTGCGTCGATTGATATCTAGGAAAGTACTGCTCCGAAAAATTTGAAAAGTTGGCAATATGGCAATGTCCCTGGAGTGAACACAACTAGAATATCTAGAACTCTCCAGCACTTCCGGTTATACCGGAAGTCCACACCAACTTCGTTATTTTAAATGGGACACCCTATATATTATTGCATTTTCGGATTCCACGTGAAATTTGAGGGTCACTTTATTAATTATTAACTATACCTAGGAATTATAGAATTTGAGATATTAATATTTAAAGAAAAAAATTTACAGATGCAAGGGTGCGCGGAGATGCTAGTAACTCTTTTCAGGAGCGTGAAATCAACTGAATTTTTTATACCTGTAAAGGGCATAGTTATGGTATACCAACAAGTTAAAACATTTAATATTAGGTGTTTCATTTTTGGTGTTACCTTTTGATAACTTCAAATCAGCTATAACTTTGTTAACTTAAATGGAACACCCTGTATGTTTTTACTCTATCGTATGTAGATTGAAATTTCCTTTCAAGTCTTATAATCGTTGTTAGGGTTGTCGTTACTATTTTTAGAGATATTTACAATTTTCTATTTTTTGGACAATTTTTCTCGCATCAGACCTGCTGTCAAATTGGCCATGACCAGAAACACTCCAGAACCAATTGAAATAACATGACATAAGTTAGTTATCAAATTATTTTAATGTCTGTAATAGTTTTGGTTGAAAATTTAAATAAAAATGCCTGGGGATAGTTTAAATTATACTTATGAGTATTATTTTAATTTGTTTGTTATTTAGTTATTTGTCTGGCAGAACACAGCAATTAATCATAAACTCTAATCTGTCTGACGTCTTGCCAGTGACTCATGTGGTTCCTCAGGGGTCCATTTTAGGGCCCTTGCTGTTCTCTATTTATATAGCGGATTTTTATAAATTTTTGAATAACTGTTCTGTGCATCATTACGCTGATGATACGCAAGTGTATCTCAATTGTCGTGTTACGGACTTGGCTGCTTTTAACGATTGTATTAATTACGACTTAAATTCATTGTTAAATATCTCTGCTGCTCATAGATTGAAGCTAAATCCTGACAAATCTAAAGTCATAATTTTTGGTCCTAAAAATAAACGTATTATGGCGAAAATGGAATTGAATTTAAAATTAGGAGATATTTCTTTAAATTTTACCAATGAGTGTAATAACCTGGGACTTTGGTTTGATGAGGAGCTAAGATTTACCAAGCATGTAAACAATCTGTGTCGATCATCGTATAATCCCTTAAAGCAACTTTATCCCCAGCGTGCGATCATGGTTTCATCTCTAAAAATCAGTTTATGTAATTCTTTAATATTTTCAAAGCTCTCATACCGTGACTGTATCTATGGCCCGGCTCTACTACACTCCGATATTCAGCATTTGCAGCGAATTCAAAATAGTTGTTTTAGAATTGCATATGGAATTAGAAAATTTGAACGAGGAATTACTGAGTTAATTAAGAAACATAATTTTCTTAATCTTTCGTACTCTCGTAGGTTACACTCTTTATGTTTAACTCGTAAAATTCTTCAGCAAAAATGCCCTGGATACTTACATAAAAAATTTAAGAGGCTTCATAAAGCCACTTCGATGTTTAATCCTCGTTATTCGCGTTTATTAGAGATTCCTCGCCACGCCACTGCCCTGTATACTAGAAGTTTTATCTATCACGCCTGTAAAGAATATAATGCTTTGCCCGTTTGTTTTAAGTCACTTTAAAAAAAAGTTAAAGCAATTTATATTCAATTCATATATACAGGGTGTCCGCGTTTTTTGTAGCAGGACTTGATATCACAACTTGTACTAAAAGTCCTTTTAAAAAAACGTTCATGTAAACATATATGTATAGATGCGTCGTTTTCGATTTACAGAGTGTTCAAGTTTAAAATGAGAATTGATTTTTTATTCGTAAAACGAAAACCCCTTTTTAGACTTTGTTGAGACTTGGCAACTTTGTTGTTGAAGTTTGTTGTGAAAGTCCTGCTACAAAAAGCGCGGACACCCTGTATATGTATCTATATATTTTTCAATGTATGTTTATATTCTGTAGGGATTATGTTTAGAGATTCTATTGTACTTAGGGTATTTTGTGTTCTCCTTTTATTTATTTATTTTTTCTGTTTATTCGTACTGTTTCTAGGGGTTAAGTTGAAAAGCAGTTTTAAACTGACACTTCGCCCCTTTACAAGCTTATTATTTTCTGTTTGCCTACATGTACTTGAGCTAAATAATTGTAATAAAAGACATTTATTATTATATTATTATTATTTATGGAAAAAAGCAGCAGAAGAACATGTAGAAAACATGTTCTTGAAATTACTTTGTCACATTTTCCATAAATAACAAGCAAATTAAAATTTAATAATTTAGTAGCCTTGGGACATAGGAAATACAAACATTTACCGTTTGCTTTTGATCGTGTGCTCCAATCCCAATGAAAATGTATATTGTCCAGTACATATTCCAAATTATCAACCAACAATGTCGACAGTGTCTTCGTTGTCTTTGATTTCTATCTCCACTAAAAATTTTACAAAATTATAAATACTTGATTTTTAATGTTTCAAGGGTGGGTTAAAATCTGATATATTAGGGATACAAGCTACTAAGGCTTCCATACACAAGCCCTCTAAGGAGACATTACAAACTCAAGCTCTTACAGCTTCCATACAAAAGTAAGACCTTTAAGTATGTCATACACAAACTTAAGCTCCTAAAGCTTCCATACATGCACTTTAAGGAGGCCACGCACATAAACTTTAGTACTCCAGCCTGGCATATAAAGACAGTAATGAAAAGATACAAGAGTGTCATACTTATCAGTGCTAATACAAGTGTTAAGGGCAAAAAGAAGTCGAAAACCTCCCATAAACACAAACAACAAAATAAATTAAAGCGTTTCGAGGTGTAAGTGGGTCTTTAAGTACAAGATAGAGCGTCAACTATTATCCCAAGGCCAAGTGGTCTCGTCATCAATGGAACCACCTTTATACACAACCAATCATGTACACGACAGTCCATTAGCGGTAATTATTCTGTATTCTGCCACCAGACATATGTAAGGCTTTTTTTCGCGACTGAATATTGGTGAATATCTGACTTGTACTTACTATTTCTATCTCTTTTGATCTCAGTTGTCATATGGCAGTTTACTCTCCTATTAAAAAAAAGTATGGATATTTTTATATATGTAATAACTAGACTCAATTTTCCTGCGATATATTTAGAAAATAAGTATTTAATTACTAAGCGGAATGGTTGACTGTATTACTGTGCGATAACTCTGTATCTACTGTTACGCCTTTAGTTAACTATTAGCGAGCTTCTAGGTAACAATATCTAAATACTTCTGAAAAATAACCATCAATAAGAAACAGTCGGTCATTTAATATTCCACACCAAATATTAAGGTAAAACCTAATTTGGTGGTTAGTCTCTTGAACCAAATTTGGATTTTCTATGGCATAATAGTGCTTATTTTTTCTATTAAAAATGCCGTTATTTGTGAAAGTAATTTCATTGCTCCAAATAATTTTCCTGCCGAACAATCCCTCTTCCGTTATCTTTCCCTGAAACCATCTACAAAATTCTATTCTTCATTCCCCATCTCCTGGATGTAGTTTTTGTACTGATTTGAATTTATAGTCATGGTACTTATATTTTTTCAAAATTCTTTTAACGGTTGTCCGTGGAACTCTTTATGTTACCTTGTCCAAGACATTTATTTCATTAACGGGTTCCTGTCTTACTTGATGCCTACATTTAATTTTATGTAATTTGAAAAAATAATCTCTTGAAAACAAATAAACCGTAAGTATACCTGAGTCTAGGTTTTCCCACACTTCCAAATTCTACCATATTCTATACACTTTTAAAAAATACCAGGATTTCAATTAAAATAATGCACACAAGGCAGCAAGCGCTAGCAAATTTCGAATCTGTAAAAATGTTTGTTGATTTTTGTTTTACGTCAAGAACAACTAGATTTTATTAATTTTTTAAATAAATTATTGAATTTCGTTAATTTTATCGGGTTATTCTTCAAATAAAATAATAATGTTGCACATTGGCGTGTTTGTAATTTTGCCCTCTATCTGTTAATGTCAAAATCCAATACGGCGCCCATAAGAAAAAAAAAACAATTGAATGTTGCATAACTGGAACTAGTGGCCGTAGAAATTTTCTTTTGACGAAAATGGATTGCTCGTATCTTCTTATCTCCCAGTACCAAATTTCAGCTTTCTGTTGTGAAATAAGGACGCTAGAAGGCATTTTCTAAAATCGCTATTTTCAGTTTTTTCGCAATATTTCAGGAACGGCAGCAGATATCTTGGTTTTATATTTGGTTTATTTTAATGATCTTGAAAAGGTGCAACTTTTTTTCTAATATGAACCACCCTGTATATCTTACGGTTTCCCAGATGCCAATAGTGAGTCATGAAAAACGGACCACCCTGTATATATTTGTGTTATAGAATTTCCGATTTAAAGAATAATATTTGTTATTCCTACCTTATTCTCCTAAAATATTTTTACAGTAATAGCGACACCTAAAATAATTGTTTATTTTGATGGACGATTCTTTGAATAAGTTAAATAATCCACAATTTTTACTAACCAAATTTCGAATAAGACCACTAAGCTGCGAGGTTACCAATAAACAGTACAGTAGATACTGAAACACTGAAAACAAACTTCATTGTTACTGGTAGCAATAACTTAAAATATGTGGCAGTAGTGTTTTTCCTTTTATATTTTCCTTTATCTAAATCAGTTTTAAACACCATTAAATTTGATAACGGTGTATTGAATTTAAAAAAAAATTGNTGTTCAGTAGTTTTTGAGAAAAAAATTCCGAAAATTTGTCGATTTCGTCACTTTTTTCACATTAAATTGTAAATATCTCGGAAACGAAGCATTTTTCGAATTTTTGCTAACGAATAAGAAGTGTTTATTTTGGTCCATTTTACAATATAAAACTGTTTACAAAGTCATTTGGCGAGTAACTTTTTTGTTTATAACAACTGGCTGACTACGCCGAAAAATATAAAAAAAATATGTAAATTATCAGAAAAATACACTTTATAAAATAAAAAAAGTTTCATGCTGTAGGTTTTTGTTTTAAATTTAATCGGTTATTATCATTTAGAAGCATCTTTTTAGGGGTGTCCCGCTCGCCTAGAATTCTCTTGCGATTACCCTCGTAGAATTCTTTATGTTACCTTGTCCCAAGATATTTATTTCATTAAGGGGTTCCCGTCTTACCTACATTTAATTTTATTTATGTAATTTGGAAAAAATAATTCTGAAAACAAATAAACCGAAAGTATACCTGAGTCTAGGTTTCTCCACACTTCCAAATTCTACCATATTTCTATACTCTTTTAAAAAATACCGTTCAATAAGGCTGGTGTCTTTCTGGATATAATTGATGATATCCTCTAACAGTTTCTATAGAGTTTTAATTATTTTTTGTGTATAATTAATTCATACATCTCCCTCTACTATGTAATTGAAAACTTTACCATAATTTCAATTAAAATAAGTATTAAAATAATATACACAAGGCAGCAAGCGCTAGCAAATTTCGAATCTGTCAAAACGTTTGTTGATTTTTGTTTTCCGTCAAGAACAACTAGATTTTATTAATTTTTTAAATAAATTATTGGATTTCGTTAATTTTATGGGTTTATTCTTCAAATAAAATAGTAATGTTGCACATTGACGTGTTTGCAATTCAAAATCCAATACGGCGCCCATAAAAAAAAACAATTGAATGTTGCATAACTGAACCTAGTGGCCGTAGAAATTTTCTTTCGACGAAAATGGATTGGTCGCTTCTTCTCATCTCCCATTATCAAATTTCAGCTTTCTGTTGCGAAATAAGGACGCTAGAAGGCATTTTCTAAAATCGTTATTTTCAGTTTTTTCACAATATTTCAGAAACGGCAGCAGATATCTTTGATCTGTTTGTTTTTTTTTGAATGATCTTGAAAAGGTGCAACTTTCTTTCTAATTTGAACCACCCTGTATATCTTACGGTTTCCCAGATGCTAATGGCGAGTCATGAAAAACGAACCACCCTGTATATCTTACGGTTTCCCAGATGCTAATGGCGAGTCATGAAAAACGAACCACCCTGTATATATTTGTGTTATAGAATTTCCGATTTAAAGAATAATATTTGTTATTCCTACCTTATTCTCCTAAAATATTTTTACAGTAATAACGACACCTAAAATAATTGTTTATTTTGATGGACGATTCTTTGAATGAGTTAAATAGTCCACAATTTTTACTAATCAAATTTCGAACAAGACCACTAAGCTGCGAGGTTACCAATAAACAGTACAGTAGATACTGAAACACTGAAAACAAACTTCATTGTTACTGGTAGCAATAACTTAAAATATGTGCCAGTATTGTTTTTCCTTTTATATTTTCCTTTATCTAAATCAGTTTTAAACACCATTAAATTTGATAACGGTGTATTGAATTTAAAAAAAAATTGCAGTAGTTACTACTACATGTTTTAGCTCACATTTATCTAGTTAAGACAGCGAAAATAACTGAATCGTTCATCGATTGTTTCGCCTATGACATACTGGTGAGGGCCAGTAAGTCCGAAACCTGTCTGTATCTGATGTGCGACTGGCGAACGATCCTAATATCGAAAAATGATCTAACCCACTGAAAAATTATCTAGTATAATCTGATATAAAGTTATCTAACCTAAATGTGTAAGGATGATCATGAAATCAAACGCAAAAAATCAAATTCATTTTTTATTGTTACAATCACTTCACAACCGCATAAATGTTTTATTTTATCACCATAGCTCAAATAGTGCTACTACGTGTGCAAAACTACTCTACCATTGAGGTTTTGCAGCGGCCTGTAGTTTTTCGTTAACTTTTCTCCGGTACTTGTCACCACCTTAGGGAATTCCTTTAACTGAAAAAAAGTAATAGACATTGGTACGTTTAGACACAAATTTCATTAAAAAATGAATGCGATTTCTTGTGAAACAATGAGGTAGCATGGTTGTGGACAATAAAAGCTTTCCATTCTAAAGTAGTAAGAAATGTTGGTTAAAATTTTTGCTATTTCAATCGTGCTTTTGGCTACGGTGCATTTTAGTGCCGCGAAATAGGAACAAATTGTTGTAAGAAGCAGGTGTATTTACTAGTTACTTTTCAATTACTGCAATTTTGTATTTCCTACTAATTTATCCTGATAAACAAATACTGGGTCAAGTCATATCGTTTAGGTGTCATTTGATAGTGGAATACTTGTATATTTCCTATTATTACATTATTAGTTGCTGACCATGAAAAGTTTTAACTGAACATACATATAGCAGTAACGACGCCGTCCGTCGCCGTTGTCGGTCAGAGAAAACCAAAGAGCGAGCGCTGTGAAATGAACAGAAACTTTTAAGAAATAGGTAATCATTTTACCTACTAAAGGGAAATGATAAAAAAAGGTCGAAAGAGTAGGGCTTATCAAAATAAAAATAATTTGCATGGATTTTGATGAGCACTACGTGTGGCTGAATTTTTCTCCTCTAAATTCAACATCCTATTTTAGCCCAGACGGTATCTGTTTCAAAAAGTCCATATTTGGGTGAATCGTATATCCACGGAGATTTTTGGCTTTTTGGCTTTCAAATATCGCTAGAAATGAAAATTTTTCTATGCGCATAAAAAAAACGTGGGCTTAACTTTTGGCGGCACAATATGTTTAAAAAATTCGAAAAATGTCATATATTTCTTCCTATCATTTATCTTTTCAAGAGTTGATTTTAGCGAAAATGGAAAAGGAAAAAATGTTTGTAATTAAATTTTTTACAAAATATGACTAGTTACAAATCGAATAAATCATTATTATTATTGTAAAACTCGAAAAAATCGCCAAAAATGGGGTTAAAAAAACATTACTTTTTAGAGAATTTTTTTGGGGTCCTTAAATTGGGTATAGGACCTTCAAACATGGCTCAAGAAAACTTCATGTTATGTAGAATCATCACACCAAATTTCATCAAAATCGGTTCGATTGCACTTACCTTTGATACGATAAAAAAATAAAGTTGATAATTAAAGGAAGTTTAAAGATAAATAATTATCGGACTGTTGGAAGACCAATAATTATTAACGATAGGCATTTGAAAATATGCTAATTGTTTTTTTTTTATATCGCGAGACATCGATTTTTTGAAAAAAATAATCAAAATCGGACCTCTAGAAGCTGAGATATTAAACATTTTTAAGCGCGTCGCGGTTTTGAACTCGCCGATTCAATTTCGAGCAGGCCGAAGCGGCAGCGCTCTCTGCTATGCTTTCTCCACCACCACCACCCGTACGATTTTCTTGAATTTCGCGCTTGCATAAATAACTTTAAACACGTTTGCCAATGAAAAAAAGTATTGCAAACTTAGACGTGGTAAGTACTCGGAATACCAAAGATATTTTTCGAAAAATTGGCCCGGATGTCCCAGTACATTTAGTGTAAATGGCGGATGTAACTAATTGACCAATCGATCTGTTTTTTTTTTAAAGAAGCGTCTTTCCAATAACTTTTAAACCCTGCTTTAAAAAATTTGATATGATTGAATATTCACAAAGTTATTCTAATTGTTTATAAGTACAAAAATTCGACCAATGTTTAAACAAGCGCCAGAGCTCTCCTAATTGACGGATTCGAATTTTTCAAAAAGCGTTTTAAACCTTGAGAGCCTTTCTATATGTGATTAAATTTTCAGGTATCTAGGAGCCTTGGTTTTTGCTGAGCAAAATTTAGAAAATTTGCATTTTTTTTTTAAATTTGAATTGCAAAATTATTATGCAAAATCATTCAAACCGATTTAACATGAAGTTTTTTTGAGCCAAGTATGAAGGTCCTATACTCAATTTAAAGACCCCAAAAAAATTCCCTGAAAAATAATGTTTTAACCCCATTTTTGGCGATTTTTTCGATTTTTACAATAATAATCATGATTCATTCGATTTGTAACTAGTCACATTTTGTAGAAAATTTTAATTACAAAAATTTTTTTCCTTTTCCATTTTCGCCTACAATCAACTTTTGAAAAGATACATAATTAAATAGGAAGAAAAATATGACATTTTTCGAATTTTTTTAACATATTGTGCCGCCAAAAGTTAAGCCCACGTTTTTCGGTCCATCATGTATAATACAATAAGAAACTAATAAACATCGATAAAATATTAAAGCAGTTAAGTACGATAATGATCCAATAATTACTATTAAATTTAATAGATAGTATTATGCCAATTAGCATATTAAGAATACAGGTATTAAAACCGTAATTCCAACCTGTGATATCAAAAATGCGACTTTTAAAGTATTTATAAATACAGTAAAAAAAAAGAACACAAAAATATTGTAAATAGATTAGCAGAATTAGCCGAGCTTAAACTCTTTTCAGCAAAGCCACATTTACAGTTAACAGTAAGTGGTTTTATTGTCCACGGCTTTACCTGAGTTCGTCCTATACTGAGCTGTTTGTCAAAAACAATCCACGTCACCACTTCGTTACATCCGGGAGTGGTTAACGATCCCTCGTACTTGTAAAAACTCATCCTGTCCTTCGGTAAGAAATCCTCGATTACCAAACTTTTTATTTGAGTAACTAAGTCGACTTGAGGAGCTACAATTTTCGTGGCATCAATTATTTTATCCAGTTTTTTGTTGTTAAAAAGGACTTCCTACAAATTACATAAGAGTAAGAATTTGTTGCTATGCGGACTAAAAAAAACCAAATTTTTATACCTCAAACATAACTCCTAATACGACGATTCCGTCGGTATAGTTACTGGCGATTGTTACATTTCCATATTCTGTTTTGTAATGCACGAGATGAGCTTCCACTGCAAATCTGCGATTAATTGAATATAAAAATACAAAATAAAAAGATAAATTGTCCGCAAAGTGTATAGGGTGTCCAGCAATGCACAAGCCAAACTTTACTTGGCGATAGAACTTCTCAAAATAAGAAAAAAACTCTTACGAAAATAGTTCGAGAAGCAGTAGATTTCAGAGATAATTTCAGGTCATAGTTTTCAGTTGTCTTATAAAGGTTAGGAAGTAATATAAGATGTTTTGAATATACAGGGTGTTAAAAAAAGAGTGTAAAATATTTCAGGAGGTAATAGTATGAACCAAAATAAGCAGAAAAGTCTTAATAAACATGGGTCCGCAAAGTAACGGTTGCGGAGATATGGACCACTATTCGTTTTTCAAACATTTTATTTTATTAGGAATAAACCGACAAAGGAAGCTTTTAACAAACAAAAAACAAAGTTACAGAAGATGTTCAAAGTGCCCTCCGTCCATTTCCAAGCAGGCACGACATCTTCGTCTCAACGATATTCGAACTCTTTCGAAAACACCCTCCTTGGTTTGGATTTCTTGACACTTTTGATTAATCCGTAGCTGCAGCTCTTCCAGGCTATTTACAGGAGTACCATACACTAATGTCTTCAAATATCCCCAAACAAAGAAATCTAGAGGGTTCAGATCAGGCGATCTTGGAGGCCATAAAACAGGTCCGGCCCTTCCTACCCATCTATGTGGAAAAGTTTGGTGTAAATGCTCTCTAACGGCCATGGAAAAATGAGCTGGAGCACCATCATGCTGGAACCACATTTGTTGCCTCTGATTCAAAGGAATGTCTTCCAAAAACTCATACAGTGTGTTCTGCAGAAAGTTGAGGTAAGCAGCGCCTGTTAATCGGTTTGGTAAAACAACAGGACCTAGAAACCTGTCACCTACAATACCCATCCAAATGTTTAATGAAAAACGTGCCTGATGTCCAGATTCTATTAGAGCATGAGGATTTTCGTCGGCCCAAATATGCGTATTGTGAAAATTAAACACTCCATTTCTTGTGAACCCGGCCTCATCAGTAAAAAGAATGTTTGCAAGAAAACGAGGGTCTTCAGCATCATGACGTAGAAACCAGCGGCAAAAAACCAAACGTGCTTGATGATCATTTATTGGATTTAAGGCCTGTACTCGTTGCACATGGTATGGATAAAGCAGTTGCTCGTGAAGGATTCTCCAAACAAGAGGACCACTAATTCCTACCTCGGCTGATATTCTCCGCACACTCGTACCTGGATTCTGCTCTACCAGTGCTAGAATTTCTTCTTCTGCTCTAGGAGTGGATACCGACCTTGGTCTTCCGGATAAATGGCACTGTTTGCTCAAGGAACCGGTATCACGCAATCTTTGGTGAATTCTTCCAAACATGCGTTGTGAAGGAATCTGGCGATTTGGATAAGCGTCAACATAAAGACGTCGCGCTTCGGTGGCGTTCCCATTAGCACGACCATACATGAAATGCATGTCTGTTAATTCTGCGTTAGAGTAACCAGCCATAGCGAAAGAAAACTTGTGCACTGAGAACAACTGTCAAATACGTACTGTTTATTTCACTAAACATCAACCAACTATTATAAGAAAATACACAACGTTTTTGCAAAATAAAAAAAGGGGCTAAAAAACATAAAACATTCCATATCTCCGCAACCGTTACTTTGCGGACCCATGTTTATTGAGACTTTTCTGCTTATTTTGGTTCATACTATTACCTCCTTAAATATTTTACACTCTTTTTTTAACACCCTGTATACAGAGTGTTGAAAATATGGAGTTAAAAAAAAACAAAAGAAACCTGAGACGTCGATTTTCTTTTCAAGGGGGACACATGATGGCCTAAGTTTTGATGTCTTGGAAGCTACCTCTATCTGACGACATTCTTCAACAATTTGACGATAAAATAATTTGTTTTGATTTTTCGTTTATCTGTCAATACAAAAACTTCATACTCTATCAGATCAATTTTTTACCTGTTTTACTTTAAATGAGGCAATATTGGCTCATCTTTTCTTGTCGGGACAAAATCCGTAAAATCGTCACAAAGTCGATTGAATTCCAATTCGTGAAAATGGTTTACACAATTGCTGAAAAGGTGGAAGTAATTAGTTTGTTCTACAAGAATAATGACTGTGCATGGCAGGCAGCACAAATTTTTAATGATCTTCATCCCGACAAAAACACTTCGCATCGGCACGTCCTGGATTTAGTGCATAAATCAGAAACTGGATCGGTTGCAAACAGAAGGTCGTACGTAATGAGGGTAATCAGGTAACTGTCCTGGATCACATCGCAATGTTAGATACCAAATTTGAGTCTCAGGAAACTTGCAAGTACGTCAGCAATTTCTGTACCTAGTTGTCGCCGAATCTTAAAAATTCATAGTATCACCCATACAAAATGAAGACGATCCTGATTGCCGCTTGCAGTTGTGTGAAGAAATGAGTGATCGTTCTCGAAGAATGCAAATTTTTTGTACTCAACCTGTTTTTCCGATAAATGTAGGTTTCAACACTTTCAACAAGTCAATAGACATAATTACCGCTACTGAAGTGATGAAAATCCACGCATTTCGTATGAAACTCATACGCAACGATCGAGGAAATTGAATATATACTGGGAGACCACCTCATAGGGCATTTCTTCCTACCGGGAAATCTGGATGGAAATATGTACCTGAATCTATTGGAAACGAATATATACCCGATGATGATAAATAAAATAAAATAAATTAAAACTAAATGAATCCAAAACCCAAAATATCTTATCTAGTACCGACAAGATGGTTACAAAATCAGAGATTAAAGTTCTTGGGATGGTCCTTGACTCCATATTGGAATGGTCGTCTCAGATAGATCATATTGCCTTTAAGCTGTCGTCGCAAATATTTTGTATGAGACAATTGAGGCGGTCGCTCCCTTCTAATGTATTACGCACGTAGCCATTTATCCCATGGTATCACTCTATGGGGTAATTCAAATGTGGCGCATAAGTTATTTGTTTTGCAAAAGGCTACTGTTCGCATTATTGAGGGTGGCCCTTTCGGTTCACATTACCTACCACTATTTAAAAAATTTCAAATTATGCCACACCATTTATTTATATATTCCAGTCGTTACTGCACATACATCGTGGGTTGGACAAAATTCAAAAGCATTCTGACATACATTCCTATAACACCAGATATGCCGATACTTTGATTGAACCGTTCTCTAGGATACACACAATAAAAATTAATAAGTTAGATGTTAAGTTATACAATCATTTCGACAAATGTTTTAAATATGCAAATGTTACTAATTTAAGTTTTAATGAATTTTATAAATTGAGTAAAAGCCTTCTATTGGACAAATGCTTTTATAGTGTGCAATATTATTTTAACTGGTCGAACATAAACCATTAATATGTCAGTGACTTCAAATGTACTTTTAATTGTTCGTAATGTGGTCGTTAAATAAAGAGTAAGAGTAAGAGATTGTGGAAGTATTGGAAAATGGCAACGCTTTGTCAGAAGAGGATGTGTGGTTTCAGCAGGATGGTGCTCCACCACATTATGCCGTAGCTGTCACTGGATAGAACGCATCACGTGTAGCCTTTGAAAGGAAAATGACGTGTCTTAGAATTTTGTTTGTTTTTTTTTTCTAATTCCGATATTTTCCAGGTGGGAAGTGTAAATTGAAATACCCTATATATTAGAAAAGAATAATTGCAATTTGAACCACCTTTTTCTCGAAAACTAAGCATATTTCGATCAGTGTTTATAGGATTTTTATTTCGAGCAATCTGATCACCAAGTAAAGTTTAGTGTAAGCAATTTGGGACACTCTGTACATGGTCGTCAAGTTTGGTGCAATAGGAATTGAATTGCTTCGAATATCAACACCACCTTATAATACATTATTTAAGAAAGGTGATCCGAATGTCATAAACAATTACCGACCAATCTCAATTATACAAATTTTTGGTAAAATTATAGAGCGACTACTCAAAAAAAGCCTATATAAGTTTCTGGAAAATAATTCTGTTCTGTGTGTTCTGTCTACATCCGATGCAGTGCGTCATGTCGTGAGGGGGGCAGTTAGGGGGTTTGAGGAGGGTGAGCATACGGCCGTCGTCCTATGCGATCTCACGAGGCCTTCGACTGCGTTCCTTACGATCTACTATTAACTAAAATGGAGCACTATGGGATAAGAGGTTTGTCTTTGAAATTTTTTACTGTTTACCTTCAAGATAGACAACAATGTGTTGTTACTAAGAACTATAATGCGTTTAAATTTGAGAAAATTCAACACGGTGTACCGCAGGGCTCCATTATAGGACCGATACTATTCTTGATCTTTATTAATGATATTCACTATTTTTTGTCCCCCAACAAGTGTATATTGTTCGCAGACGATACTGCCCTAATTGTCTCGCATAAGGATTTATTTCAGTTAAAAACAGCTTCAGACCTGCTAAAAAACCAGGCTGAAAATTGGGTTAATATTAGTGGGCTCAAAATTAATGTGGAGAAAACTCAGGAACTTTTTATTTCCACCAACAGAACGATAACAAAGGGTGACCGTGTGAGGCTGTTGGGTGTGACACTGGATGATGGCCTGAATTGGACAGGTCGTGTTGAATATCTGTTGAAGTCGCTACCAAGTACCATTTTTCTAATTATACTCGGCGGCCGAAATTATAAAGAGTGACTAATACATAATATAAAAACACTATTACCATAATGCGTATAAAATATAAAATGATTTCTATACGGTTCAATATTATTTATCTTTGTGCCGCTCGCCATGCACATCGGTAGAATCTATAATCGTGTATAGACTGATATGAGTTACACTGAACGTCGATCTATATTTTATCTCTGTCTTTTGCACTTGGTAGGGAAAAGGGAAATGCTTTTTTAGTGGGTGTAAACGGACTTGATTTGCCCGACCTGAGAAACGTCATAGCATAAGCGTAGACGAGGGGTCTAATTCCATGGCTATAATAAATTTATAAATTAAAAAAACACAACTGGGACGTTTTAAAATGCTGTAATAATTAAAATTTATTAAAGTGCCGGTTATAGCAAACCGTAAAAAATATTAGATGCTATGTTTTATTATGTTTTTTCAATATTTTCTATATCTTGTTGCCTTTTACGCAGACACGCCAATGGATTTTCGTTCCCGGCACGCTTCATCCCCCTTACTAGTCCAAGAGCTAGCGATGAATCGCTATCTATAATTTTGGCCGTCGAGTATAGACAACTAAAACCTGTAGTTAGTCAGAACACTAATTTCCACCTATTTTGTTTCACTCCCGCTTGTGTTACGCGGTCGCAATGTGGGGAAATTCTAGTCAGTCACACAAAATCGTCTGCATACAAAAAAAAGTAATTAGAGTGATAGCCAATTTAAGTAGCAGACAGCATTGCTAACAGTACTTCATTGCTTTAGGCATTTTATCTTTGCCTTGCCTATACATTTATTTTACACTTATTGAAATACATAAACATATTGACAACTTTCATCATCAGTCAGATATACATAAGTATAACACAAGAGGCTAAAAAATCAAATTGTAATTTACTGGAAGTGGGGCTTTACAGTAGGTTGCCACTGTCTGTTACACAATTAAATTTAACTTGTTTCAAAGCTGAAATTAGAAGATTTTTACTTAAATACTGATTTTATTCAGTACAGGCTTTGAATAATACTCATTATGAGTAGGATATGTTTGTGTATGTGCTGTAGGGTATGTTTGTGAGTAGTTAATGTTGATAATATTATATTGTTGTTTTTATCCTATTAATGTTGTTGTTGTATTAGAAGTAAATATTTTGTACACTTGACTTGCCATAAATGTATGACAATATGTAAAATGGTCAAATATACACTAACTAACTAACTAACTATGAACGTTGTTGACTTAAACAATTGAGTATTAATTAACAATGTAAACAATATTTTGGGTGAAAAACTATTTTAAGAAAAATGTTTTTTTACAATTTTTTTAAGGCAATTTTACAATTGAATATTACTAATATTTAGGTGATTTTGCTTCAGTTCAAAGTAAAAATGTTTTTATTGTAAAATAATTTTTAAAAAATAACAGTAACCTCAGTTAAATTATACAATGATAACAGTGGAAATGAAAACATTTGGTTCACGGTTTTCCATAAATCATTATAGTCGCCATGTAAATGAGATGGTTAAAATTCAGCTGGTTGTCGGGCCGTAAGAATTAGCAATATGTGTCTATGATTGGAACGCCATCAGCTTATCAAAATATATACCGCTGGCGCCTCGTCGTTCCTTAACAAGCAACACTCACCTTTTGTCGTTGATTGTGTGCTCCGAATCCCAATGAAAATGTACATTGTCCAGTGTATATTCTCCTCCTAAATTTCCACCTGACAGCGTCGGTATGGCATCGTTGTCCATGATGCGCGCCTCCACTAAAAATCGTACAAAACCAGTTCGAAAGCAAGATTTCAACGTTATTAAAATAAAATAGTAAAAATGAAGGGACCTGTTTTTATAGGTCGGTTCATTTTTGTCGAGCTTTAAGATCAGGTGCATTATAAAAAAATATTTATGATAGTTCGTTATCTACATGGAAACACTAAAACAACGAGCCAAATTTTATCCATAGATGCTTTGTTTCCAACAGTTTTAACCGAATCTCGGAAACTTTCTGATTTTATTTGATAATATCCCAGACCTCTTTTATCAGGTACAGTTTCAGTCGTATTGGTAAATCCAGTGACGTGCAATAGTAATAGTGGAGATCTTTTTTGAAATAAATGATACTGCAAAAAATGTTTTATATCCGTAAATATAAGTAAAAACCTCGTTTTTTATTGACAAAGCTATCTGCAAAATATCCGAAAAAAAGTTTTTGTATGAAACTTTAATACCTCGCATTAAAAAAAAAAAAGAAATTCGAATATAGTACCTCTAAAAACAGTCTGTAGATATATTCTCTTGTGATGGTAAATAAATAAAACTTCTTTTAATCACGACTTAGGAAATTGAAATAATTCTATACCAATCTTCTAGAGATTTCGGAGAGTAAGGATTACCTGTTTGTCCGTTATTTTCTAAGGACGCCCTGTAGGCAATTTTATAATCATTGAACTCTAACGCTGGTATTGGAGTCTTCCTGGAGAGTAGCCTCCTCAGTTTGATGGGTGACTGTCTCTGGCCAGTTTTGCAAATATCTGGCCATTTGTCTAAAAGCCATAAAATACACGAATCAGATGATTAAAGATTTTCCATACTTTGATTGTCGACATCTAAATACCTAAACACGGGATTATCTTATGTTGAAAAAGTACTGTGTTAAAAAAACGGGGAATTTTGAAATATATTTTTTGAGGGAAATTTGTAGTAGAAACTACAGAATTAGTTTTTCGCATTAAAATTTGTTATATTCTGCAAAACATATTTTGAAATCTACTCATATACCTACACCGTGTCCACCTAGTGCGCGTAAGTCCAACATCTAGGTTAATAAAAGATATAACTTAATTTTTTTTTCTACAGAGTTGCCTACTTTCCCGAGCTGCACAAAATGAAAATATATTTGCATATACATGGTGTTCATTTTTTCCTGGGCAGGTACCAACTTAATTTTTTTAAATGGAAACCTATATTTTTTTATGGCATTATTGAATTCTACGTAAAAAATTAACGGGACTTTGTGTTACGATTCCTATTAAAATATTGATAGTTTTCGAGATAATCAACTTTTCATTTGTTTTTTTTTTCATATGTTTCGTCACTTCTAGTAGTTGACATAATTATGATTGTATGATAGCTAGAAATTATTTTTTTTTTTCAGGAACTGTAGAGTGAAGATGGCTCTTTCAAAAAACTCATCAAAAGTTGACCTGCGATATACAGGGGTCAAAGGAAATCGTGCCAAACCTGATAATTTCAAATTTGAAAAATCTCGACTTTTTCAAATAGAACACCTTATGTTTTATGATTTCATTAGATGCCTTTCTGTAGACCCTACAATTTTTTAATAGCTTTCCCTATACCTAAGTTGTGTAGTTTTTGCAAAAAAAAAACATATTTATGTAAAATACCGGATTTGCGCCCGTTCCTTTGTCGGGAAAAATATCGTAAGAGTATTTTTTTTAAGTTATTAATTAATTATAATTATGTCAACTACTTAGAAGTGACGAAACATAAGAAAAAAAAAATGAAAAGTCGATTATCTCGAAAACTATCAATATTTTAATAGGGATCATAACACAAAGTACCGTTAATTTTTCACGTAGAATTCGATAATGCAATAAAAAATATAGTTTTCCATTTAAAAAAATTAGGTTGGTACCTGCCCAGGAAAAACTGAACACCCTGTATATGCGAATATATTTTCATTTTGTGCAGCTCTGGAAAGTAGGCACTCTGTAAAAAAAAATTAAGTTATATCTTTTATTAACCTACACCTACATATTAGACTTACGCGCACTAGGTGAACACGGTGTATAAAGTCCCTAAAAATATTGCCATAAGACTGAATCTTTTTATAGAATGACAAATGACAAAATTCAGTAAAATCCATTTAAATTAATTTATTCGTAAAGGTGCGTTTATATCTGACACGTATTACATTATATTTGTGTCAGACAGACGTATATATAAAAAAATGTAAACGCTAAGGAATTTCTGTCCAAGATATATATTTCAATATTCAGCAATAAGTGTCGATACATTTCTGCCACTAGATGTAAACACTCATTATTTTCATGTTTTAACTTGCATGACACATATCTCTGTAGTTGAACAGCGGTCTACTTTTGAATAAGTGTCGCGACATTGAAAGTACTATGAGTGGTGTTAAATAATAACAAAAAAGAGTGGTTAAAAGCCGAAATTGATGAACTAATTAAGTTATATCATGCGAAACCCGAGTTATGGGAGATTAAAAGTAAAATTTATAGAGATCGAGCAAAAAGGGAAAATGCTTTCATTGAAATCTCAGAAAAATTTATTACTACTGTAGAAGAAATTACAAGGAAAATCCATAACTTCAGGAATCAGTTCCATCCACGAACCCAGACAGACCGTTTTTCTTCGTTTTCCTTGCCATTTCTGAAATACATATATCGCAATGGCCGCAAATTTTCGTGTTGATAATATACTCTTTTAGCGTGACGTCACATATCTAGACAACCCGCAACAAATTGTCATAGTTGAAATTGTACAGATCGAATCTGACCCTTGTTTACTATTTACGTAGATACCTACTATAGAAATAAACAATTTCAAATTAACTTCTTTTTACAAGGATTTAGCAGTATTTAAGAACAGCCAACACGTTTTTCGTAAAATAGATACACCAATGTGCTTAAAACAATATAAAAGGATATTCTTAAATTTAAATAAAGTAAAAATTTAACATTAGCCGTGTTATTCCTAATGCGCGTGCTCGGGAAGAATAGCCTCATGCGCAGGTGAGGTCTTGCTGATATATCACTGCTGTCATCATCTTCTTTAGTTTAATCTTGGCATTTTTTAGTTCTACCAAGTATTTTTTATTGTTTTTCTTGATGCTTTGTTGTGTCAGCCCGTTTATCGAGTGTTTTTTGTTCTTCAAGTGGCTTATTATAGACGTACTATTAACCAGAACCAAACTTTTCTTGAATGTATCCTGTTGCGAGGGTACTTCGCTTACAACAAATTATCTTTAATGCGCATGCTCAGTAACATTGATATAATTTTAATTTATTAATTACTCTAAATGTCAATATTGTTCTATAAATTTAAAAATATAAATTTTATAATTCTTTTAGTTTGTCACTTGGGGTTTGGAACATCTTAAATATTTCTAATATTGCCAGAATATCGCGACATTTAAGGTCATGACAAAATGGACATTTTTTGGCACTTATGTCCAAAATACACAAGGTAGAAAATCGATCGAATGTGACGTCACTACTAAAAAGGTCTATTTCATCGTGTTGGATTGTCAAATAAACTTTTTATTTAACTGAGCTGAGAGAAGTGTACGATGAACGATATAAATATATGTGGCAAATATAAACAGCTGATATATTTATAGCAATATATTTCTATCAGAACACATTTACAAATATCCGACATAATTATATTATAGAAAAATGAAATAATTTCTATCCAGATGTAAACATGCATTGTGAGTTTCTATCCGATACAGGATATTTATGTCCACATATAAGTGTCAGATGTAAACGTACCTTAATACTGAAACTATTAGAACACTTAACGTAACACCACATTCACATTTTTATGTATTTTATCGCATTTACGGAACTATTAAAAATAGTTTTTATAGCTAACAATAAGTCTAAAAACATGTTTTGTGGTTTTTAATGAATACCATACCATAATTTCCAAATTTCTATTTGTTTCTATAATAAATAAGTAGGGATATATATTCATTTCAGCTTCCCCTGCATAAACCTAAATTTAATGATAGCCACAATTTATTTGTTTTGCAAGTTTTATTACCAAAACTAATTTTTTTTAATCGCCTAATTATGTACTTACGCTTTTATAAGTGCCACCTCAGGTAATGTACACACGTGTAATAATAAATCTTTCGATATAACGAAAATTATTTCAAAATTAAAACTAATTTTATATTTTTTTGGAATAATAGCAACATCCTAAAATTGTTTATTCTGTAGACTGATTCTTTTAATTTCTCCTTAAAACGGTTCACAATTAAACAAAATTTACTGACCTAACTCAAAATAAGACCACTCAGCCGCGAGGTTACCAATAAACAGTACGACAAATACTGAAACACTGAAAACCGACTTCATTGCTATTGGTGGAAATAACTTATGCAGCAGCGTACAATGATTGCTTTTCCTTTTATATTTTCCTTTATCTGTATCGGTTTTAAACTCCATTAAAAATTGATAAAAGTATATCCAATTTTAAAAAAGAAGACGTACCAGTAATTCATGTTTACCATATCTAAAGCCCCAGGAATTGTTGTAGTGAGAGGAATATTTACTTAATTATTTATTACTCACGTGGTACATGTACAGGGTGGTCCGCCGTTTTCTCCGCTATTTGTCAACGTGGTTGAAGTTTTCTCTTTATTTATTAAGGTAATCTGGCACATGTAAAAAAATAAAAACATAATTAAACAATCACTCACATCAAAGGGATCACTCAAGGATTATTTTTTTGAAAATAGTTTTGCCTAACCAAAAATCTCACAACAAATAAAAAATTCACCTCACTATATACACGCACTTCAAAAAGTCGTTGACATTTTGAAAATCAACCTGTTTCCATTATCGGAATTTAGAATGATACTTACAATAATTAGTTTAATTTAGTTTTGATAGTTTAAATTTGTTTATTTGTATCTTCCATAGCCAAGGATATCATATGATGTTTATTCTAATTTATTTCGGTATTTGTATTCAACAAGGATCTTAATTTACGAAGTAATTTGAAACATCTTTCACCGTTTAATAATATCGGGTGTCCCAAAATTCAAGATTTGAATTTCGCGCCATTTGAGCGGTAAAGTGTTGCCAATGAAAAAAAAACAGCGTGACAGCTGAGAGTTCAGAGTTTTAAAAATGGAGCACTACATGAAAGAACGACACGTTTTCATTGTTGAGCAATATTTTAAAAATAATGAAGGTTTTCATACAAAATATGATCAGATTAGTAATTTAACTTCATCAAATGTGAAGAGATTAATTGAAAAATTCAGGGGAACTAGAACAATTGGTGGTCATAACACTCCGGCTGTCCTTCAGCACAAGACATCAAAGCAGTTCGTGAGAGTGAATAAATGCATCCATAACAGGTCATTGTTTGGTGTGAATTTTGGGCTGGAGACATCATTGGACCAATCTGGACTGGTCAGGCAATAACAGTTAATGGTACTCGCTATCGTGACATGATAATCCAGTTTTTGTCTATGATGTAAACGACATGTGGATTCAACAAGACGGTGCCACATGACATACAGCCCGAGAAACAGATCCATTACCTACGACATTTTCTGGTCGTGTAATTTCCCGTTTTGGTTGCCCAGATCATGCGAATTAATGCCGTTGGATTTTTATCTTTGTTTTTTTTTAAGTTTAAGGCTTATGCCAACAGGCCCACGATCACCCATGCTCTGAAGCTGGAACTTGAAAATTTCGACAAAAGGGTGCGTAGACCCTTTACAATTAGTTTTGTTTTAGTGTTTTTCATAGATCCTGAACTTAGACCGGTTTAGAATGCGTATTTTTTAATAATGTATGGTAAAAGTTGAAAACGTATTTTTCATTATTAAAAAAAATTGCCTTATTTATATAATAACTCTGAAACTATGAAAGATACGTAAAAAATGACAGACAACAAAAATGTAGCTTTTTTTCAACAAATATTTTGCTTTTTGTTTATTCCTATAAAAAATAAAGGGGATATCGCCGCCTGAAGTATCCATTTTAGTGAAAAAACGACCTGTCCCGAGCCCTTCAATCCTTTCCCTTTAAAAAACGAAGGACTTAAAAGGTTTTATATGCAAACGATCTTACAGCTCTTGAAATTATCTTTAAAATGCTTTTTTGTAGGATACTATAGCTTCAAAATTAACCGAGTTATGGTAAAAAAATCAATGACATTTTTTCGGAGCAAAATAGGCTTTCTCATTTTTATATATTATATATTATATTATACAAATAAAATAAGTAAAAAAATTTAGTGTGATTATTTATATGCAGCGTAGCAATTTTTTTATGATTGATTATATTTAAAAATCGATTATAATAAAAATATTTTACATTAATATTGGTAAAAGGGTAGTTTATAAGAGTTGAAAATGGCAAAAGTAAAATATTCTTTCATAAACAATATAAGGGAATTTTTATTTTAAATTATTGCACAATTATAGCATTCCAAGATTTAAAACGTAATTTTTTATAATTTTTTTAGCACAGGGGTGATTTATAAGGGTTGAAAAGTGTTATGAGATACAAATTCTTTCATAAGCAATGAGGGAATTTTTATTTTAAATAATTGCACCGTTAAAGCATTCCAAGCTTTTAAAAAGTAATTTTTTATCATTTTTGTCAATACAGGGGTGGTTTTTAGGGGTTGAAAGGGAAAAATTCTTTTATTAGCTATAAGGTAACTTTTATTTTAAATAATTGCACGATTTAATCATTCCAAATCTTTAAAAAGTAATTTTTTATCATTATTTTTTGCATAGGGGTAGTTTTTAAGGGTTAAATAAAGGGTCGAAAAGATCAAATATATCATAAAACATGTTCGAGAATATGGAACATGATTTAATCTTTGTGCTTGAAAAAGATTTTTATCAATAAAATGCTTAAACCTTAATTTTTTCAATTTTTTTCACTTAGGTGGAGTTTTTACCCCTAAAAAACAAAAAGCGTCAATCGGGCTTATGTCACTTTTGAACTTGAGCCTAAGATGAGCCTTATTCTAAATTTTCATGCAAATCCATGCAGTTTCAAAAAATTCGGATCTTACAGCCGATTTTCAGCTTCAATTACTGTACTACATATATGTCTATTAATTTAATTAAAACTATTTCGAATAAAATCGAAACACAGATCCCATATATAAATTTCTATCTGCTCTAAAAGGCGATAATTGGGAATTAGCTAACTATTATTTTTTAATAAAATAATTTTCTCATAGGGTTAAAGTTATTTAGAGTTTTATGTCAAATATTTGACATTGTAAGTATATTTTTTTGTTACATACATTATAAAGGCTAGAAGGAACATTTTAAAAAAACAATTGAACTACCTTAGATACAATACCGGTTTTGATTGGATTTATTATGGATAAATTATAATCGAACTAATAAATTGTTAATTGCAGGATTATAAGCTTAAAAAAATCTGAGCTTGTCAATAACAACATAATTATTGCGCATTTTTTTTATTTATTAGTTTATTGGTTAGCTTTTCGAAGAATAGATCAAGGTTAGCTGATCTTGATCCGTTTAGTCATATGAAATATTATGTTTTGGGTACTGGGACTTAAAATTAATTTTATTTTCAATTTGCTGTACGTAGTTATTACACTGTGTACAGAACATGTCTTTGTTACCTTACCATATCTTCCACTAAATTTAATGATAATAATAATTATTATCCTTCTTAGATGAAAATAGTTATAGTTGTTACGACGTCAATTGGAACATGAATCATTAAAGCACAGGACCGTATGCACTTCTCCTGAAATTTCTTCCTATGCTTTGACCATGATGCGTATCGTAATTTATACGCAAATAGCAATTCGGCGAGTCCGGTATTGGTGAACTAGTCCGCCTGATGTAGAATTGACGGCGGCGCGCTGGTCATCAAAGCAAACCTGTATTGGTCCACTAGGTCGTAAATAATTTTTTTGTATGGTACACGGGTTCATTTAGCTGTGCCGCTTTGCCAGTGCAGTGCAGAGCATTGCTTGGCGGGGTATGTTGTTGGTATAATACGTATTATTATTTATTAGTTGATATTATTATTTGTAACCATATTGTAACCAGTAAAGGGTAATAGTTATTAAAATAAATGTTACATGTAATTATCTAGTAATTTAGGGTGGCTCTCTGGAGAATCTTTGAAGCGGAGGATAACGAAATAACTCAGGAAAATCCCCAAATAGTGGAACCGGTTTTTGTCGAAAGTATCGAAACAAACTCAGTTTAAAAACAAAGATTTACACGTACAAAGTCAACGTATTATATTAAACATATATGAATGTTTGCAAATTGAAAATAGTGAACAATGTGATAAAAAAGTTAGGAAACGGATTAACGAATTAACAAAGATATCAAAAAAGACAATTTATGCCGTAATTAAAGTATTGATCACGGTGGTACAAAGAAAAAACGGAAAAATACAAAATTAAAGCAAATTGACGATTTTACCAGATGTAATGCGGCGCACAATCTATAATATGTATAAAGAAAATAAAGTTCCTACTTTAAACATGATTCGAGATAAATTATTATGATTAATTAATTAATTAATTAATTATGATTATAACTATAAATATTTAGATATTTTTCGACATGCTTTATTATAATGCGATTTTAAACATAAAAAACTTGACAATCGTTTGGTAATTATATGGTAATATAGCTCGGAATATAGTATATCTAGACGTGACAGGGCTAAATTTTTCTGGACGTCTATGGATTCCGTAGAATTCATGAGTTAAATCTTTCATGAGGGCACATTTTTCTGTGCAATATCTTTCCTAGTCTATTTTATTGGCGATTAAGGCTTTGATTTTTTCAGTAGTGGAAACATTTTATTTATTATGTTAACACGTATAAACGGGTGATCATTTTAACCTTAAACTTTCAAATTTATTAAGAAAAAGCACTGTTCGAAAAAAAATTGTCTATAATAAATAATTAATAATAAATACCATTAATGCTAAAGTTAGCCCCTCTTTCCCATCCTTGTAGGTGGGGCGGGGGATTATTTAGAAATCTTACAGGTATCTTTATTTTTTTATTGCAGATTCGGATTCTACGGCTAAAAGTAGGATTTCTATGAAACATTTTTTTCGATTCATGACAGGTGGCGTTGTAACGAATTCAATTTTTAACGATTTACACCGCCATCTGTAATGAATCGTAAAGTTCTTAATTATCGCGATATTTGAAAGTTTCAGGTTAACAAAATCACCCAGTATATTGACATTTATATAGGATGTCCCGTTTTAAATTACGCACCTGAATACCTCGTCAGGGAAACTACCAATCCGGAAATAACCCCTACGAAAGTTGTTGGGTTCGGAGAGGGATATCAGATGGTGACCTTCAGTTTGACCTTGACATAGACCTTCAAGGTAATTTGAAGGTCAAATCTAATTTTGTAAATAGGAACCTCTATTTTTGATCCCGGATTCGGAAAGAGCGCAAAACGTTTAGATAGGTACTTAAGACTATTCTATAAAGGTTATTTCAGGGACAAAATATTTTTAATTACGCACGTGAATATTTCGTCAGGGGAGCCACCAATCCGAAAATAATCCTTAGAAAAGTTATTGGGGTCGAAGGGGGACATTGGACGGTGTCTTTCAATTTGACCTTGACGAAGAAGAGCCTTAAGTACATATTTAAACGTAAACGAACTTATCTATCTAAATGTAAACGACCCTTACGTACCTAGCTAAACGCAAAATTTTGCCCCCTTTCTGAATCCGAGGTAAAATATATAGGTTCCTATTTAAAAAATTAAATTGGATCTTCAAATGACCTTGAAATTCAAGAGCAAGGTCAAACCGAACAACTTATTTTCGGATTGGTGGCTTCCCTGATGAGATATTCAAGTGCGTAATTTAAAATGGGACACGCTATATATACATATGGAGAAATTGTTTATAATTATAAATGATTGAGCAAAATGAAATTTGGTTCATTATATGTATTATAGGTAACTGAAGAAATACACATTTATACATATTTATTGGATGTACAGTTTTGTTATTTTACATTTTTACATTTTGTATATACAGGGTAGGAAAGTACCGATGGTCTATCTGAAGTTACGTGAGAGCGATAAAGTAAGCCATAGAAATCCATGCGATAGAGAAGGATGGCTATAATGAAGGCCTCTCATAGTCACCGCCCGTTTCGCCCTTCCACAAATAAGATCCACTTTTTATTTGTGGAAGGGCGAAATGGGCGTTGACTATTAGACGCCTTCATTATAGCCATCCTTGTCTATCACATGGATTTCTATGGCTTACTTTATCGCTCTCACGTAACTTCTGATAGACCATCGGTACTTTCCTACACTGTAGGATGTTCCTCGAGAAAGTGCAGAAAATTTTAGGGAACATTACTTGGGTACAAATAGGGGAATAAGTTTTGGTCCGGAAATGTTTTGTGTTCGATAATCACATCTTTTGTAAAAAATAATATAATATTTCAAAAATGGTTAATCATAATTTTTCAAAATTTTGTTGCCTTAAGTTTATATTTTGTATTTACAGAACCATGTTAGTTATTGCACATTTCAGTTACCAGTGCCGTAGGTAAAGGGTGTAAGTCGTTTCGGATTTCATAAAGCGTAACTACGCCTATGATTTTTTTTAATATTTATTAATTCTTTGTAAGAGCAACGCGTTTACAAAAAGAACTGTTCTTGTGGAATTTTCGTATTATCATAGATTTTTGAGTAAATTGCGTACAATAATGACTCCACTTTCTTTCTGTTTTACAACAAAAACTGTAATTTTTCAAAAGAATTTTAATAAATATGTTAACTTTTTGAAATGCTTAATCTGAATTTGATTAATTCTTAAAAATAATAAACAAATATGTAAATATAGTTTTTACGATGTTGAAGTAAAGATATACAAAAAAAATTAGAATGTTAGCTCGGTTAGGTTGCAAACAAAACTGTCCTATTTTTCTTAAAGACAGAAACTTTTTTTTTATTTAAAACCAGGTGCTTTTAGTTTCATTTGTAACTTAATCACCTTTCAAGGTTTTCTGTTATTCTTTTCATTTATTCGTATAATGTTAAATCGTATATATACATATATTTTTATATATTTCATTCATGTTTATTTATTATTATTTGTGTATTTACGCATATACCTACAAAATGGCACTCAATATATGACATCTAATTTTGTGAAGCTATTATTTCGCATTCTCGAAAACATTTTTTTCGAAAACTGTCATTAAAAGTGATACATGATATTTATTAGGTGTCAAAACAACAGTTTTTTGGCTACAGAACGTGTAAGGCTTTTACATCCACCTACAAAAATCAATGAAATTGTATGTGATAGAATCAGTTCACCAATTTATTTGTTATTATCGACAAAATCATAAATTATAACAATAATTAATAACCAATTTAATTATCAATCAATTTAACAGGTAATCAAAGAATAGATGACAATATTCACATCTCAAATCAATTAATTTTAAATGTCCAAATGTCTTCATCGCATTTTTCATCGTTTTTGATCTGAGATACAGTTTTCGAAAAAATGTAGCAAAATGCAAAAGTAGTATTTCGCAATCTAGCATCAAAAATAACTATTTGCGGCGAAACACATTTCGATATGATTTCATTCTCTAGTGTCACACATTTTAGAAGAACTGGTCAAGAGTGCAGGTTTAGAATAAACAATCGCTTCATTGTTAAATTAAAATGTACAATGATAAATAAAATGCACAACTAAAAACAACAACTTTATTGTTACAACGGTAAAAAAAATATTACACTTATAATTATCGACATGGTTAGTTCAGGTAAATCGTTACAGATTAATATGGCATGCGCTTTGGAAGATAATTTGGTACGCTTAACACCAAGGCGGCCAAACTGTTCATACAGACGCGAGTCAGCAAACCGTGGCTTTATACGCATAAAAAAAACCAAGGTTCTCTTCAACCGCCTTCAACGATACAAACTAATTAGTTTACTTCTTATGGACTAAGAAACACTAACGTTAATTTGTACTATCCTTCAAAAGTTTTTAACATACGCTTGATGTTCGACTGTTTATGAGCATTAACCTCCCTTAGAAATGTTACGACTAGAACGCCTTCAGGCGATTAAAATTTGAGGAAACTGAAGATGAGAGCAAGGGAAGTTACTAGTAAGATAGATGGCACTTCTATCGCTTTGGCACTGGCTCTGATGGGGCTAATCTTGACGTAGACGTCTCTGCCGTTCAGTGACTGCAGCGACCGGTAGTTATGCTCGAGAAGAGCGTTGTGATCGTCGTGCATTGCTTCGAAAATCTTCACCTGCAATTGAAATAATAATGAAACCGTAAAGATATCCTGCGAGTGGAACACCACAGGAATCAAAAGATGTGAAGTATTAGTTACCTGTTTGGCGGAAATCGGAATGGTGTTGGTGAAGACTGTCCATAGGATGCCTTCGTTGCAATCTGGCGTGGTTAACGATCCCTCGTATCTGTAAAACCCTGCAGTGTCCCTGGGAAGGAAATTTTTTACGTTGAACTCTGCCAACTGCCTTGGCGTGCCGACGTTGTTTTGCAATTCCGCTATGATGTTGAGCAAGGGCTGGAACTCCTCGTCGTCGTCAGGAGAAAGCTGGAGAATGAATTGGTGTTAATCGGAAAGAATACTTTCGTTTCAGAAATTAAGAAGTAATTAAAATTGAGCTTTTGTCCTGCGATGCGCAGTTTTTAAGTAAAAAAATTTGAATCACACATTCTGTTCACAGACGAGGCTAATTTTTCAAGAAATGCCATTTAAAATTTTCACAACAATCATTTGTGCGCGGATGAAAATCCACATGCCAACACCAATTTCCGGTCAATGTATGGGCAGGAGTCATTGGTGAACACTTTATTCGACCACTCTTCCTGCGACTTGGCGGACAATCTTACCGTAATTTCCTTCAAGAACAATTGCCTTTGCAGCTTGAGATTGAGAGCAATAAGAAACCAAATGTGGTACCTGCACGATGGTGCATCAGCACGTTTTAGTGTAATAATGGTTCGAAATTATTTACAAACTGTTTATCTCAATCATTGGATTGGCCGCGGTGAGCCCTCAGGAATGGCCACCAAGATCCCCTGACCTCAATAGCTTAGATTTATTTTTATGGGGCCATCTTAAGACGCTAGTGTACACAAGTCCCATTAATACTGCAGAGCAATTAAGAGAAAGAATAATTGCAGCATGGATAAAATATAAAATACTCCGAGAATATTTCAACGAGTGCGCAATTTCATGAGAAGCAAGGCGGAAGCATCCATATTAAGTGAAGGAGGTCATTTTCAACAATTTTTGTAATACACTAATGCAAAAAATTCGAAAGAATATTCGAAATTTTTCCGTGATTTTTAACCGACTGTATTTAGGTGAAAAATGGTCGTTTCGGGAATTTAAAATTTGAAGCTCGAAGATTCTAGTTTTTAGATCTTTCGGTCGAAATTCTTTAGGAAGAAATAACATGACAAAAAAGTCCACGGACTAGTAAAATTTTTATTCGTTTTTTTTCATCAATTTAAACGTTATTTGCGGCAAAAATGTGAGAAAACCTCAAAACAATTTTTTTTCCATTTTAATCATGATTATGAAGTGTTTAAGGTCAAAAAACGTGACCCTTTCATTTTTTCAAAAGTTTGACTGAAACAAAGAAACGGTTCGCTAGATCGAAATGAAATTTCACAGGGTACTTCTGGGTATATCGAACTGTAAAAGTCAAGCTTAACATTAGTTATTTCGTGAATATTTCTAATTTAGCCGTCAATTTTCTAAAAAACCATAAATTACCCTTTTTTCCTGTTTTCTAAAATTCGTAAGATGAAAAAAAAAAAATTTCCGAAAAGTTGGCGGTAGCTGTTATAGGAAATTTATTCCAGTTTTCGAAACTGCCTTTCAATTCTCTGTACGATCATTTGTCGCCGATATATCGATGATTGAAGACAAAAGGATCCTTTTCTATTAAAAGTCCGATATTTCGATAAAAATGGTCGTATCGAAATTTAAAAAAAAGTTATCTGGTCCATGCAATGGCTTAGCTGAAAAAAATTTTTCCAAGTCCGTGGACTTGGATTTGCAAAATTTTTTTGTCGCGCTTTCGTTTTGAATTGCATGATAACCGTAGCTCCTAAAAACCTAGACCTAGACCTTTCGACCGAAAACTAGAATCTTAGAACCTCAAAATGCTTTTTTTTATTCCCGATACGACCATTTCTCACCTAAATACAGTCTGTCAAAAATCACGGAAAAATTTCGGAAATTCTTTTGACCCTTTTTGTTTTTGCATTAGTTAGTAGTTTGATATCATCTGTAATGTTATGTTAATGTTGCATGTTGTTGTTCATTACACGCAGGTGTCAATCTGTAATGTATTTCATTTTAGTTATTAAATTATTAATAATTCGTTGAGTTTTTTTTGCTCAAGACCGGCGCATTGCAGGACAAAAACTCTCTCTCTCTCAAGAGCTCTTATCTTTTGAATTGAATGGGGATTTCAAAAATAATTTTGTTTGGGAAGAAACGTACCATTTTCTTCTTCAGTGCTCGCAGGCTCTTGTTAGAGCTAAAAATTATGTTTGTGTCTTTATTAACTATCAGTACATACTAAATATCACTGAAATATCTCAAGCGGTTTGGAAAATATTAATTAATTCCTTTTTTATTCCTAAAATTTTAACATCCTGTATTTTCGCAACGGAACATTTTTGGACCATAGTTTACAAAGTTATCATTAATTTTCCATGTAGAATCATACCCTTAAATATTCACATATCATTAAGGAACACCCTGTATAAATTTGTATTTAATTTTAAAATTATTAATTCAAACCGTACACCATTGTTATTAATATATTTTTCATTTAGAAGATACATAAACCTGTTTTTAGAGGTATTCCCTTTCTTTTCATAAAAAAGTTATTTATTAAATTTTTACCAATTGTTTTAAGTCTTTTGTTTCATTGTTAAAATATATGACTTCGTACTTATGGTTTTGATGTTTGCTATCAACACCTTGCACTCACAAATTTTCGTAATGATTATAATCTAAAATAAGCTAAACCTATTTTTTTTTTTACCTCAAACATCACGGCAAAAACTGCCACTCCCTGAGGGTGCCTTACAGCGTTGGATAGGCTTCCATAATCTTTACCGTAGTGTACCAAATGCAGTTCTAGAGGAAACCTGTAATGCAATACATTTTTGGAACTTAAATGTATCTACTGTGTACTACTACATAAAGAAAAGTTATATTGGAGGTAAAAAACGTTTATTAAGTAGCACGTTTTAAAATTAGCAAAGGCGATTTGGACCAATTTCAAAAACAATAGGATCACATGTACTAAACGTGCTTCAAACAGGAAATATATGCATATAAATAACGAGGTTGTGCAAGTTACTGTTTTAATTAAGAAAAATACACATTAGTTCATTGCTGGTTTTATGAGAAAATAAAATAAACACCGTTAAAGCAATTTTTATTTTAATTTAATGTCAAGTTCGGCGTTTCAAGTTGCAGCAATCGAGAATAAAATGTGAAAGAAATAAAATAAAATTTCCTGTTCAGGATCAGTATTATTACCTGTGACCTTCCAGTGTATGTTCGGACTGCCAGTGGAAATGTAAATGGTCCAGTTGGTAAGATCCTGCCAATCCACCTCCACTTGCTATAGGTTTCTGGTCTTCTGGAATGTCAAGTCGTACTTCAGCTGAAAATAGAAATAAAGCATTCAAATTAATAAACATAAACCTACAAAATTAATTAGATAGAAACGTGTTTTTTTTATCCCCTAATAAATTCTTACCTGAATGGCCGTTATTTTTTAAAATTGCTTTGACTGTTTGGCTATAACCCTGTAGTCTGAGATGGTGAAATTCCTTTTCTTTGGCTATTTCTAACGAGAGAGGTATTGGAGACTGCAAATGTCCTTCTTGACACTGTCGTGCCCAGTGCTCTAGAAAATATCATTAAAAATTATTATTAGCCAGTATTTGTTTTCAGCTTTTTATTTATTTTTGTAAAGGAGCAATTTGTGGTTAGTTTTATGATATAGTAGTCCAGCTACTACAAAATTATTTTTGTACACCGTCGGCATAGCGATTATTTGTTCGGCTGTTTAAAGATATCAGCGGCTTACTGAAATAATATAATTTCCGTGCCAATTCTACTCTTTATAATCTGCTTACATTTATATAAATAATACGAATTAATCTGGGCCCGTAGTTTTAGACGTGTTTACGATAAAGGAAGACAGTTATAGGGACATAAAATAGTTTTAATAATCTTCATTTTATTAACCGCACATAACTGCTTTCTTGTCAAATGAAGTATCTTATCTGTAATAAATAAAAAATCATATTTTATCCTTTTAAAATATACAGGACGAATTACACAGATCCACAAACATTTTTTTTTGTTTTTAGATCAGATTCATAATTTCTTATAGATTTTGATGAGATGAAACCAAATTTGAAGATTACAAAAATTTGTATCTTTTAGATTTTTTGTAATCGCAGGGACAAGTCTTTTCTATACAAGCTGTTAGAAACATATCAGAAACGGTAACAGGTACGAACTAGCTTAAATGGGAGCAAAGTTGAGTAATCAGGGGACTAACATTATGCCACCAAAAAATCAAGGCCAACATGATTGATTAGCTTTCGAAATATTTGAAAAAAACTTAAATTTTGGAAATCCGATTTTGTTTCATTTCAGCCTTGTTTGAAGTGATATTGAAAAAAGAAGAACGAATACTTTCTCATGTCAACTTTTTGCCCTCTGTCGAATGGCATAATTAATTCTTATATGTAACATTTCGTCTTTCCAGGACCATCGTCAACTTTATTTTTCTAAGTACGGCTCTGGAAATTTTATTACATTTTTTTGCAAGCCTTCATGGCCCTCAATACTGTAGGTACTTCCTCAGCCTGAACCAGATTCAGACGTGTTGTTTCGAAAGCCGTTTTAGAACAATCAGCAAACACAACGAAAATCTGCATTCGGCAAGATTTAAAAAAAGCTAACATTAGAATAGTAGGCCTTGGAAATTAAACAAAAATTGTGTTGTTTGAAACTAGCCATCATTATTGAAGAGAATGAGTTATTTAATCCAAAAGAGAAAATTGAATTAATTTTTATTCATGTTGGGGGCTTAAATCTAAACAATGTGTGTGATGAATTCGGTGCAGATGTAGAGATAAGCTTTTCCAAATCCGGAGTTTTTAAGAAATAACTTGGTAAAACAAAATCTATTAGTAGTGTGTACCCAAAAATCCGCAAAAGGCTCAAAATAATCTTAGCAACTGAGTTAAAACGTTATTTTTATACACAAATAAGCAGCAGTCAAATAACACAATGACAGCACATTAATGATGTCTCCTTTCAAACAACATAATTTTTTTTTTAATTTCCAATACCTACTATTGCTATGTTAGCTTCTTTTAATTGCTGCCGACTACAGATTATTTTCGTTGTTTTGATGATTGTTCTAAAATGGCTACTCCAAAATAAAGAAATGTGACTTAACATTTTTAATGTCAAATTATGTTAAAAATATGTCAAATTTTGTTAAAAAAAGAAGATTAGTCAAATCATGTTAAAAAAATATGGTGTTGCCATTTAAAAAAATATTGTTTTAGTAGCTATTGAAAAAATCTGGCAACACCGGAAAGCATTATTTGCAAGTGTTTCTTAAGCAAGTTATTTGCTACTACTTTGCATTTGGAATTAGTTTATAACTTCAAATAAAAAAGTTGGCCTGTCAGGTTTTAAAATAATTACACTGTATAATATACAGGGTGATCGTAAATAAGTGCAAAATATTAAAAAAGATAATTTTCGATCCGGACATTCTCTTTGTAACAAATTAATAACATTAAAAAATGTTTGTTTATTTGTATTATTTTTAACTACATAAAAAATAGTTTTTACATATATTTCTAGGAAACCCGTAAATAGTTATTTTATCTATTTATGAGGTTGCGGTATCTAATCTACTCCATTAAAGATTCCCCGAATGAAAAAATGTCATAGTTTAAGACTGGATAATTATAAGTTGACGCAACTACTAATCACCTCCCCCACTCTAACTTATTAGCATAACCTAGGTGTTACAGATATTATTTTTCAATTCGACATAAATAAAATTCGGTGCCAACGAACAACTCTGTCTCTTTATAGTTAGGTCTGGGTGGAAGCCAAATGGAAAGTAAATACCTTTAATCTATCGCATCATTCAAAAAATTAGGTATTTAAAAAAAATATTGCCGGGGTAACAATTTAACAAGTTATTATGCAGGAAGTAACATTAAGCGAATGTCATTTTTTTTTTAGGTAACGGTACTCGTCTGCCAGAATACTAATGTGAAACTATTTCACCTACATCCGAAATCGCTTCGTTTGGCCGCTAAATGGCCTGAAAGTTCGTGAAAATAAAATTAGACATAATGTAGACATTGTCTAAATTATCTTGCCACCCATGTTACAATACTTAATAAAGTGCTAGTAGTCACGGATTTTGTAAGTTGCCTGTAATTTCAGTTTGATCTTTTTAAGTCATTGTACCTGTCAATTGTAAGGAGATAAGATATGCCATGTTACTTCATTTTTCTATATGGATACACACACATACGACGAATTAAAGTTTTTTACAACATTCCTGATTTTATTGAAATAATTAGTAAAAACAATCAAATACAATAAAAAATGCTGGAAATAAAAGTAACAAAGTTGATATTATTAAATTTAGTACAACTTATTATAAAGACCGTTCAAAATGACCACCGTTGTTTCTACAAGAAAGGTTAATTCGGCGAAGAACGTTAAAGGACGCCCTTTGCAGTTCTTGAGGGCAATCTTTTAAAACATTTATGGCAATTTGGATATAAAAAAACACATCACAGAAACGAGACACAACTCTTTTAGTATTGGATGTGGAAGCGTACATTGTTGTTTTCAGTGTGCACCAAAGATAATAATCGTCGCAAGGTGTTAAGTCTGGTGAACGTACAGGCCAGTTAATAGGATCGTTATTCCCTCTACCGATCCATCGCCGAAGGAATCTTTGGTTCATGTACTGACGGACATATACAGTGAAATGTGTTTTGCAAAAATTTTAAATAAAATTCCCCAAATAATTCTAATTTATCGTATGTGTGTGTATCCATATCGAAAAATTAAGTAACAGGTGGTATATAATATCGTCGTAAACACTCACTAAGGTACAGTGACTTAAAGATCAGACTGAAATTACAATCAATCTACAAAATCAGTGCTTACTAGCACTTTGTTAAGAATTATAATATGGGTGGCACGATAATGTAGACATTAAAAAAAAACCAAAGCGCTTATTTAATCAAAATTCTACAAGAGGCCCAAAAACTTTCAAATTGTATCACCTATCAAATAAAAAATAGTTGTCATTATTGCCCGAAAAAGAAATAAGTTATGAACGAATATTATCACCATACATCAATTTTGTTGTAGGGTTTAAAAAACAATCTGTATAAGACCAAAATATGTAGATTGAAAGCAAAAGTTCACACCCCGAAAATAATCAAATTCGATTAATAATTCGAGTTATTTACAAAATTAAAAAAAAATTCCCGAACTTTCAGGCCATCCATCGACTAAACGAAAGGATATAGGTGAATTAGCCTAGGTCTGCCTATTTTGAGTCCATGAATCTGTGGAATTCCGTTGTATACGTCATTCTGGGACACCCTGTATATTTTAAGTCAGTACGGCCAAAAACCAACAGTTCATGGTATTTTTTAAAATTGCATTTTTATTAATTTGTAATTTATATTAGTATGAGGATAGGTATGATTTAAAATAACTATTATTGTTGTTTCATATTTGAATTATTTTTTAAAATAATTTGAAAGTCTTTAATAAATAATACTTGTTATTATTTTTGTTAACGCACCGTGTTCAATTAGTGAATCTCTGTGTCAATGACCTATGACATTGAACTAGTTCAGGGGAACTATCCTACGGTCCCTCTACATATTCTAACGAAGGAAACAATTGGTAGGCAGATATTGTTAAAAATAAAAGTTTAAACAAAACACAGAAGGTTTTTACTTATTCTTCTTTATTTTTTCATCAGCTTAATCGATGCTGAATTAATTAAAAACAACGTAAAACAGCAACAAAATTAAACCGCGAAATACGCACGAAAGGAAAACTATTATACGACGGGAAGTTTGGTTGTGTTCGCGATTTTCTGAATGTAATATGCTTTTACCGGAATCGAAATAAAATTGGCGTAGTGCATGCTATATTTTATTAATTTGATAGTAAAATTTAAATATATTCAACGTCTGATGTAAGTGTATATCTTTATAAAGTTTTTAGCGACGATATGGTGTATAGGTGATCATTGTCAATTCTATTTTTGATATTTGGAAAGACATTTATATGAAGCAGGAAAGATGACATTTGACAACTATGCATCATGACAGAATTTGGAAAACAAGCTTATAGTATATGTTTTTGAAGATCAAAGGTAGCCTCAGTATTAAATATGACCTAATTCAAACTTACACCCTGTATATTAAACATTTTTTATCTCTAGTACATGAATTTTATCTTCGTTGTGCAGTACAGTTCAGGTGTACTCGTAGATAGGTACACCAAATAATCATTTTCAAAACAATGATAAGAACGCATTATTTTAACATTCACGTGTGCCATTTAGATTGCAGAATTGTTTAATTAAATTAATTGGTGGGCAATTATTGTCATACGTCACGCATCCAAAGTGTAGTAACGGCGTCGCACTCATTTTTTTTTAAGTGGATAATCGGGACAATGAAATGTATTATCTAGCTGTTGATGTCGTGATTATTTAATAAAATAACCAGCTGAGCTGCTCAAGACCCTACACTGATTCATAATTTGTTCCGCTGGCAGTGATTGATATAAATTTTATTGGAATACCAGCGTATAGGAAATGAGAATTAACAAATATAATATTTTACAGTAAATAAATAACCCCAGAAATTTCCTTTTACTTTTCATTTCATGTTGGTTTCTGTCTGTAAACATTTAACAGATTAATGGCACGCAATTATGTGAATGTAGTCAATACCACTGATACGCCGAGTTATTATACGAGCTTCCTTTTTGCTTTGACACTTATATCGGGTGTCCCAAAACTGACGCAAGATTTGAATTTTGCGCCATTTGTGCGGTAAAGTGTTGCCGAACGAAAAAAAAAAAGACAGCCGACAGCCATTGTTGGACAATATATTAAAAATAATAGAAGTTTGGCAACTGTACTTCGTAATTTTCGTACAAAATATTGTCGGAATAGTATCTGGATCAATTAGTGATCTTAAACCTTCGAGCATATATTACTGCAGGTAGCATGCCATTGCGAAAAGTGTGGCTGAGTGTGCGAGAGAGACATACAGTATCTCAGTATTTGCTGTCTCATTCTAGCACGCACGCGATTGGTTGGAAATGACTGCCCGCGCTCATTGGCTTCCGCAGGGCTCCCGTCGTTGTAGCGAAGAATGAGACAGTACGTACTGAGATACTGTATGTCTCTCTCACACACACTTTGCGCAAACTGCACAATTGCACAATTTGCGCAAACTTTTGTTGTACAACATAATGTTGTACAACTTGGTGATTATATACATGATACAAATTTATTGAAAATAGGCGATTTTTTATATTTTTAAGCAGTTTGTTCGCGCTTGACTGGTATCGTTAATTTTGTTCTTAAAAATGTCTACGGAAGCCTGAACTTTTTAAATTTCGATTTTTATAAAATTCACTTTTAACTTTCTATATATAGTTCGGGTAAATCGAGATACATCTGTATAAATTCGCCCCAAAATTCTTTATATCCAACCGTAGATAAAGCCATTTTACTTATTTTTTAAAACCGCTCGAACAACTCTAGTTGTATGACACTATTCGTTTGTTACGTTGTACAAAACCTCCAAACGTCCACATACACGTTTAAACCTGTTTGAGAAAGTCACGCGATGGTCATATAATTTTCAAACAAGCTCGAATTTACTCAAACTGTTGCGCAACAGCTCCAATCAAGACATACATGAAATGTTTGCGCAACGCCATCTGTGGTGCAAATTGTTTGATCGTGTATTGGGACCTATTAAACACTCTGGCCATCCATCAACAAGTCATTTAACACAAAACGTCGAAGCAATTCGTGAGAGTGTTGCTGAGAATCCAGGAACATCAATTCGGCACCGTGGTTAAGAATTGGTCATTTCGAGAAGCTCTACAAGGTATTCTCACGAAAGATTTGTAACATCATGCTTACAAAGGCCAATTGACTCAAGAATTGAAGCCTACTGAACACGCAGAGCGGAGAGAGTTCATTGAGTGGATTATAGAAGTCGATGCTTATTTTTCAAACAAAATCATCTTCAGAGACTCGAGAGACTCATTTTAACATGTGTTGAAAAACAAATGCATCCACAACGTGTCACTATTTGCTACAGGTTTTGGGGTGGAAGCATCATCGGACTATTCTTCTTAGAAAATGCGGCTGATCAAGCAATAAAATTTAATGGTGCTCACTATACAGTTTTTTGTGCCTAAATTGCAAGATATAGATGTAGACGACATGTAATTTCGACAAGACGGTGCCACATGCCATACAGCCCTAGAAACAATTCAATTACTGCATGAGTCATTTCCTGGTCGTGTAATTTCCCGTTTTGGTGAGCAAAATTGGCCGCCCAAATCATGAGATTTAATGCAGTTTCTTTGCGGTTTTCTGAATTCTAAGGTTTATGCCAACAGGCCCTTGACCACCCATGCCTTTAAGGAAGAAATTGAGCGCTGTATTAACAAATTTCAACAGCATTTATGCAAAATGGAAGGGAAAATTTCGACAAAACAGTGCGTATGTGCCAGCAAAGCCGTGGAGGCCATTTACCCGATATACTATTCCGTACATAACCTTATACTGCATACTTTATGAATCAATTGAAAACCTGTGTTTTCTATTAAAATTACTTCTTGCGTAAATTTTGGGACACCCTTTATCATGGATATGTTAATTGTTCCATGCTAATCCGGTCTGTACTTTAATAGTTATTTAAGACTTGATTTTATGCCAAAATGTAAGCGTCGATGCGGAGCCACTTAGTCCAATGATAATTGTAAATATGTTGGTGTAGGTTTCTGTAACCTTCTATTATAAAAGTAGCTTTATCTCTGGAATGAACTTGTTTATTTCATTTTTTAGTGGCGATGGCATTTAACGATCAACATGACCATTCCGCTTATAATCTGCAGATAAGTTTGTGTTTATGGCTTACGAAGTGGTCGAGGAAAATTTAAATCGCGTTTAATTCGGGATAATTAATTGTAATTAAAACCTTTTAGGGACCGGAAGTATGATTGGTTGCATAAAGCTAGGGTTCTGTTGATAACGCTTATCTCATTAATTTAATTGACACCACATTAGCACTACGAAACATTATCTTTATGGATACACCTGCAGAACGGTTCTATACTTATACAGCGTATTCTACTTCAAATGAGTACAGAGCCATAACTTCCTTTATGAGAAAGTTTAGAAAAAAAAGTTGTTGTTCAAAAGCATTCTTTGTGCATTAATTGGGAGTATGGTCTTTCTATATAAGGAAGTTAGACGTTGGAGAAAAAAAATTAAAAGCAATCTTTGTAATTGGGAGTATCCCTCATGAAGGAAGCTATCTGTACTAATTCTTGAAATTTGTCTAATTAAATGTTCAAATATTTTATTTAAGGATTGAGATCTGGGCCATCCACAAGCATAATCAGATTATAGTTCTATTAATATTTAACGAATTTATTGCTGTGAGCACCAAGTGACGTGGTTATGACCCACGACTAATATTTCCAAAATATTTTATTGCTTCGTTCATTTACCCGATTTATTTTAGACTCGAGTTGTTAACAGTGCCAAAAATGTTGCAAGACTGTATTTTTCCAGCACCTATTTACCACAGATGACAAGAATAACAGTCGGACAATAATTGAAGTAATAAGGGGTCAAAAATTAGTGAACAGTCAGGTTAAAGAATATATGAAACAAATTGGACATAAATATAACAAAAATTGAACATAGTGATAAATATTATTTTAACCATGATAGTATTAATGTTTCTTCTTCCTAAGGATTAAATTTCTTAAGTCATGTTGTTTGAAAGTACAGTGAAAATCATAAAATTTAAATTTTACTATTACCTACGTAAACAAAAAAACTGGTAGACCATGAAATATGGTACAATATTTTGTTATATTTATCTTAAGAAACAAGTTCGTCAAAATAAAGAAGGTTGTTATGTATCATACGTATTTCACATCCAGTTTTAATGGCTAAATTAATAAAAATAGTCATTAAATTTGACTATGTACGTCAACAGAAGGACAACAAAAGTGCAATTTGAAACTGAAATTCTTACAACTCGTGTAATTAATATGTAAATATTTTTATTTAATTCAAATTAAATACTTACGTTCATCTTGATAGGTCCATGAGCCCGCAGAAACAGGTCCTGAAAAAATTTATTTCGTTAGAAAATCGTTATATGTTGAAAAGAGTTTAAAAAATTTTGTAGTAGTGATTTAATTTTTTAAATAGAGATTTAGCAATTCGAAAAAATTTAAAAACCGAAGAAACTCGAAAAAAATCACTTGAAAAAACACTTATTACAACGTTTTTCATAGCATATTTTTCTGGAATAAATCTCAATGGGAATATACAAAAAAACAAAAAAGAACATATTTTAATAAATTCACTTAAATTTCAAATTAGTAGAACTCAACTACAAATTGTCAAATCGTAAATATACTTTACTTAAACCAACAAAATCTTATTTTTTTCTTAATGTACAATGAAGGAAACAAAATATCAGTTCCCTACAATTAAAAAAAAACATTTAAAAAAAATCATTTTTTTGTGGTTATTTTATTTTTACTTTGGTCCACTTACATTTTTTTTATTTGATGGATATTTATGGATATTATAAATGGAGATATTGTTTTCTCTAATAAAAAATTCTTATTAATTAGATCACAAAAATAACACTCAGTATGACATAAAAGTAGCAAAAAATAAAAAAGAAACTTTTTCATTGTTTGGATTTTTTAATGGTTGATTTTTATTATACAGGGTGAATCAGAACTTATAAAAAAAATGTTTGAATGTACAGGGGACTCTTAGAAATACAATTTTGTAAAAAAAAATCAAAAAGGGCAGCTCGAAAATGATTTAAAAATACACTTCTTCACGGCACTGGAAACTGGTCCACTGTAAAACCTGACCTCGCACAAGACAACGCATTCAGTCGGCGATCGGCACGGCGGCAAAGTGTAATAAAAAATTAACGGCCAAAAAATTGAAAGGATTTCTTTCCCAAGAAAAGAAATAAATAAAATTTTATAACACCTATTTTATACGAGCATATTCAACTGTTTTTGCCGCTATTGTTATTATTAATTATTAACAATTGTTCAAAATTTCAACACATTTGGGTCCGTCTTACCCAATTTCTGCAAACTAATACAAATGTTGTCTTGCTTCACCATAAAGTAAAACGATATCCATCAACTGCGAATTGCTATACTCGTAAGCCATTTTTGACATTTGAAAAACTAATGTAAACATTATCGCAAAAACGTTAGTAAATCGGATTTCAGGATTCGGAATGGCATGGAGCCACGTGGAGAGAGAGCGCATTGCTCACAACGTACAACGCGAATGACGCTAACGATTACAGTAGCCCAGCGATGTCCGGGTTGAAAATACTACAACAATTTTTTTCTCGGAAACTGTAAGGATTTTACAAACAAATTTTTACACCTCCATTTTCATGACGATCTATTCCCAAGTTTTTTGGATAAGTTGTGAATCACCCTGTATATGAAAATCTAAATTCAGTCATAATAAATTAATACAATTAAAATTTAGCCAAAAATTCCAAATATATTTAAAAATGGTTTGCTAATTTTTTAAGTAAATTAATACTTACAAATTATTATTTTTTATATAATACTTAATATATTGTTTATGTTGGCAAGATCGCTAGATTCTCTTTATATTCTAGGTTTTAACAAAAATTTAATTTTTCCTAATTTTCTCGTTTCTTTTTCTGGGAAAAACCTCTTTTTTCCGACTACTAATTTCTCTGTAAAATTTGAATCTCTATTCTTATCTTAATTACTACATTACTTCCTTAAAAACACTAATAAAATCATGCAGCCAAGTATAAACAATATGATTATCTTGAAATTTTAAAAACGTAATTTTTTCGTTGTGGATGTGTTAGACATCCGGGAAACTTTTGCGTGCATTTATTTCCGCATAGGTTTTGATGAATGTGTTAATTACATCAATATAATGCAACTGTTCAGTGCTAACCTCTGATTTATACTCGTATAACCTTTTTGACCGAAACAGTACTACCAGAGCAGTGCTTAAATTAATTGATCTGCTCATAACACTTTCTTTGAATAACGAGGCGAAAACATTTTAAAATATTTAATTTTCTGGTTTTTGCACCTTTGGTAATAACAACAAACATGTTCAGTTATAATCTATATTTAAAATGAATCCTAAAATAGTCTTTTAAATTGAATTGAAGTAACGATTTTTTGCCTCTCATTATATTGCAACGAAGTGTGGAAAACTGTTTCAAGGAAAAAAATCCAATAATAAAACCAAAGGTGAGGAAAGAAAAAACAAAATTAATATACGTTTCAAAAAACAAATTAAAATTATTTCTTGACTGATTTTAAAGTAATTATTACCCATAAAATTTGCGACAAATTGTTACATTATTTGGTACGTAATTCTTTTAAATGTATTGTGTTTTAAATTGTATTTGTCTGCATTTTTTGTACGTTTTCTAGGCGATAATATATATTTTTTTCGATTTCCTAAGCATTTCCATTTCAAGCTTTTCCACTTTCTAAGATAAATTTCCATAATTTAATTGACTGTAAATACATACTGTATACCTTGTTTTTTTTTTTGGAAAAAACGTCGGACAATAAGAATTTTTTATTAAAAATTCAATACATTAGGGCAGAAAAAAGTTATGACAATTTAAATGCGTGTAAAATACAGACGGTGGCGCCCTCTAATAATTTACAGTAAATTCGAGACCACATTTCAATTTCTGATGCAAGAGGTCTTCCCTATATCAAGTTTTATTATTTACTACAATTAAGTATGAAGTTGTTGAAGACAAACTAAAATAAAATTATAACTTTGACACCCCGTATCTTGGCTTGAAAACTATCAAATATTGAACAAAGGTAACTTGAATTATATCATATTTTTACCTTAGGAATATGTAATAAAATTTTGTCCAAATCTTTCAGAGACTGTATGAGTAAATGATTTGTGAAACTGGAATGTGTTTGTGAACAAAAACTTCCCCCGCTTATTTCGTAAACACGTTCTTCCTCCCAAAATTATTTACAGAAATGTTGCATTGCGTTATGCACCACAAATTTTTTATCAAAATTCAAGTTTACAGTAATAGTTTACTTGAGAAAAGACAGTAGTAAGTATACTTGAGACAATCATTCATTCTGCAATTTTGCAGTTAAATATAACACTAGAAATTTTGAATATTCATAATCGTTTGTATTTAAACTTTCGGTATAATTTTTACATGTATACGAGTATTTCAGGTAATTTTACCGAACTTAGTATTTTTTCGCTTAACTTAATTTGTAATAGATGTGCACGAACGTTTAATCGAAAACATACCAAAATTATTTTTTTTTGCTGTGCATATTTAATAATAAAAACAAATAGAAACGCTTAAGTATTCTTTTACTGTTCATTTCACACTTAGAGGATGGCATTGAGAAAGTAGATCATATGTTATAAATTTACTCTGTCTATTGTACTATGCTACCGTTCATTAAGACTTAGATTGAGATACCAAGATAGAATTAATCACTATTAAACTGATTAAGTTAATTGTGATTCTAAGAGTCTGACTTAGTTTATCAGTAGACACAGCTACCTTGCATTTCTAATTCCCACAAATCGATAATAATGTAAAGGGAATTTTGTGGCTCATCTATTTATTTTGAGGTTTCATCAGAATGTGGTGTATTTGCAAATATTTGTTTTTTTTTTGCAGGTTAATCATATCCTTGTTAAGAAATTTTTCGGTGTTAGGATAAGAAATAGAAAATCCTATACTATTTCAGATTAGTTTAGTGTCGACATAGTTAGTATTTATTATTAGTTATTCTAATATCGAAGAATTTATCAACTAATATTGGTTTTGATATTTTTTCTCACGTAAGCTATTTTTGACACTTGAACTTGAAAAACTAATGTAATTCGGAATCGCCTAAGGCCAAAAATTACCCTGTATATTAAATTTTACCATAGATAATAAGCTTTTAGGTACTGCTGATGAAACAGTGACATTTTTAGGTCTTGATATACTCGTAGACAAAAATTTGAATTGGCATATTCACTGTGAAATTTTAATAAGCAAGCTCTTCTCTCTAACTCTAACATATCTGTTTGGCAATTTGCGGTCTGTTTTAACTATTGAACGACTTCGCTGTTTACACTATACAAAAGTTGATTCTCGTCTCAGGTATGGACTCTGTTTCTGGGAAATTCTGCTCATTGTCAGGTTTTTGTTGTACAAAAAAGGTTATTAAAATGTACGACAGGAGTTCCTAGTCATTATTCATTTAAAGAAATTTTTAAAGATTTAAGAATTTTAACTTTGCCGTGCCTGTTTATATTTGAAATGTGTTTGTATGTTTGGACCCTCATATCTCATTTACTAGAATAAAAATAACTGCTAACTCTTCAGATTGTTTAGGACTTAAGTCGTACAACAGACTACCTGACGAATTAAAACTGATTATACGTGAATATTTATTGCCTTAAAGCAGTTTTTAATAACAGTGTTACTATTCTGTAGTGGCTTTTGCCTAATCTGTCTTAGCTTGTAAGTTTTATTTGACTATTCCTGTACATGTAATGTCGCGAACGGAAAATAAACTATTGTTATTAGTCAAAAAGTTTTATAAACAAAATAAATTTGTAGTTCTATATGTAAACGTATAGATATACAGGGTGTTAGAAGTGTGACTACCTTAATTTTAACACACGATAGAATACATTAAAATAAACAAAAAAAACCTTATATGACATGGGTCCTAAACTCAACCGAGAAAAAATTATCAAAATCTCCAACTTGATGTACAAAAGTTCTATTAATTAAGGAATATTGACATAACTCCGTGCATAGAATACCATAAAATATAATGTTTATCACTTTTTTGAACTTCTTTATGCTTAACTCTTAACTTAAAAAATAATTAGCGTTGTAATAAATTTAAAATTCGTTAAAATTCATATCGAGCAATGTGACAACGGCCCGGCGGATAACACGAGGTATTAAGCTGTCAGTTGTCTAGCAATACGCAATTCAGTTGGTATCTGGAACTGGACCGTGCCTGAGTGTTTTTTTTTGCGTACCACTATTTCCTTTTCTTGAGATGTTTT